TTACAACTCGGAGGGCTTGGAATCCCTTTTAGGGGGTGTGCACATTTAAAGTAGTCGTTTCGTTTCCGCAAGAACAGTTGTGGTACCGGCACTTGATCGGGGTGGCCGTCCGTAACCACGGTCCACCGGGCTCAGTCGAAAGGTTGAGCACCGCCCTTCTAAATTACTAGAAAGTTAGAGAAGAAGTGATTTTCTTAAGAAGTTTAAAGAGAAGAATTACTAAGAGATTTTCCAAGAGAAGTTGAAGATTTTAGCAAAGAAGTGATTTAAGAAAAATCAAAGAGAAAAATATTTTGGTGGAGTGCGTCATTTTTATATAATATTATATAAAAATCTATTTTAGTCAAACCTGATTATTTTACGGGGTTGGGTAGTACTTACTTAGCTCTGAAGCTAATTTTTGTTTTCTTTCTTTTGCTTTGTTTATGCACTTTATTTGTGCAGGTGATGATGGTCATGTTGATTGTTGAATGCATGCGCCTGAGAGCGAATTAGAAGTTGCCTTAGTCGAACTTAGTTCTAAATAAACATGTATCTATTAGTCTTTATTGTTTTGTTTTAGTTGCATGTGCATTCGGTTGAGAGATGACCGGATGTGGCGGTAAAACTCATTTCCCTATTTTAGACTTCCGCTGTACTCTTTAAATTTCATTATCAATAAATAAAAGTTTTATTTCAATTATATCAATGTTTTGGGCGGGAAATTTGGGAGTGTTACAAATTGGTATCAGAGCCTTTGTTTTTCAAAATCTTTTAAAGATTTTCAAAAAACTTTTTGAATTGAAATATTATTTTCATTAATTAGGATTAATGAATCTTATCAGGGAGGAATTTTATGGCTTAGGCGCGTGTGAGATTGTGTGATTGATTTTTTGTTGTTGTATTTGGTGATGTCTTGGATTGATTTGAGATTTGTGAATTGAATGGAATTTTTCCAATGGTTGCTTGTAGGTGTTCCTTATCCTAGAGTATATTGTGAGTTAGTAAGCTTGAGAATAGTTATGAGTATATTCCTAGTATCCTATATCTTGTGATCTTAGGTAGATCTTGGTAGGGATCTGTAAGAGTTCCTAGTATTCTGAACTTTGCGTCTCTCTTTTGTAAGATCTATGGCAACCCATAGGAACGTGGTTGAGGTAAGTAAACTCTTAGTATTCTATATCTAGAGCCCTTTTGATAAAGTATTTCCTTCAGTGTTTCATCTCGACCGTGTTTTGACTTGAGCTTCGGGAACGAAGCGTCCTTTAAGGGGGGGAGAATGTAATACCCCGAAAATTTGAGAGAATTTGGGAAATAATTAAAATTGTGTTTCATTTTGTTTACACGGTCTTTATGTCATTTATTATGTTTGGTTTAGTGTTTGGGACAAAGGAGAGGTCCAAATGGGGAAGAAACGGGGCAAAAACTAAGGTTTGGGGCGTCTGGGGGTCACGCACGGCGTGCGTGGAAGGTACGCACGCGTGCGTTTCTGTTGTATCCTAATGCAACTCAAACTTCGGAAATTCACTATAAATACATCCCTAATCCGATTTTCCTCATTCCAAAAACCCTAGGACCGCCTCTTCAAGCTCTATCCCTTCCAGCTCTTCAATATTAACGTATCCAGCACGAAATTTTATGCCAATGATGAGATCAAACAATCCAATATTCCGGTAAGTGCGTTTGTTGCTTAATTCGCGTCGTTCATCCGTTTCCTAAATTTCTTTCTCCTAAATTGAGATCCTTCGAACCTATCACTTCCTAGGTACGTGAGAATGATCCATCAAACTAGGTTTGACGTTTAGGTTTCGTTGCTAGCCTCAAGGTAAGGACTATTGCAACCAAAATTACTATTTTGCCTCTATATTGTATAAACTAGGGTTTGTGCTATGATTTGAGTTTCTTTCTGAAATTTTATGGATAATTCGGCTATAATAGTATGAGTATTATGATGTATGCTTTTATGGGAATTTATGAACGTGTGATTTTTGGTGAATTTATCAAATCAGTTTATCATGGCTAAAATTGTGATTTTTGATGATTGTTCTTTTGGGATTGGAAAATTTTGGTGATTGTTTTGGTATGAGTTGAAGAATGATTTGAGAATATTATAACTGGTTATATTGAAAATATATTATGGGTTCAGAATACTCCAATTTGATTATTTTGGTGGTAGTAGTAAATGCTACTTTCGGGAAGTGGTTGTTTGGGTTAAACCCTCTTTTTGGAAAGTGTTGTGAGATCAAATCTTTTGGGATAAATTATATATTTTTAAATGTATAATTTGGTATGAAAATTTACATATATATTCTGGAGTTATAAATATCCTTATTGGATTATTTTGAATATGGTATTAAATACTATTTTGGAACTATTTTTGGATAAACCCTAAATTGTAAGTTTCTCTGCCAATCCAAAATCGTTTCCTCGTATTATATATGTATTATGTGATACGTGATTTTAGTGTATGCATGTGATCTGAAATTTTCCAATCTGTGATATTTGAGAAGAAGTGCTTTTGAGTATTAAACATTTTATTTAAATATTTTCGAACCAGTTTGAGAAATTGAGGAATATTTTGAAGTATATTAAATCAAGATAAAAGAATGATTTCATAAAACGTGAGCACCACGGGAGAAATCCGTGATGTCGGTTTTCCACATCCGGATAAATGTGGAGGGTGATTAGAGCGGCTACTACTAAGAAGTACAGTTTGAGTAACTTTCGGATCGATGATCCATTTTAAGAAGGAGAGTTGTGGTAGTAGTAGTTCCGACGTAAAAGGGCTGCTACTGCTAAGGGCGAGGATAAGTTTTGAGTGATAATTGGATCGATGATCCCTTTTAAGAAGCAGAGTTATAGTAGTAGTCCCTAATCATTCAAGAATTTTAGAGGTGGGGTGGTTGAGTTCCGACCACTCGGGATGACTTACTACTCGGAGGGCTTGGAATCCTTTTTAGGGGGTGTGCACATTTAAAGTAGTCGTTTCATTTCAGCAAGAGCAGTTGTGGTACCGGCACTTGTTCGGGGTGGCCGTCCGTAACCACGGTCCACCGGGCTCAGTCGAAAGGTTGAGCACCGTCCTTCTAAATTACTAGGAAGTTAGAGAAGAAGTGATTTTCTTAAGAAGTTTAAAGAGAAGAATTACTAAGAGATTTTCCAAGAGAAGTTGAAGATTTTAGCAAAGAAGTGATTTTAAGAAAAATCAAAGAGAAAAATATTTTGGTGGAGTGCGTCATTTTTATATAATATTATATAAAAATCTATTTTAGTCAAACCTGATTATTTTACGGGGTTGGGTAGTACTTACTTAGCTCTAAAGCTAATTTTTGTTTTCTTTCTTTTGCTTTGTTTCTGCACTTTATTTGTGCAGGTGATGATGGTCATGTTGATTGATGAATGCATGCGCCTGAGAGCGAATTAGAAGTTGCCTTAGTCGAACTTAGTTCTAAATAAACATGTATCTATTAGTCTTTATTGTTTTGTTTTAGTTGCCTGTGCATTCAGTTGAGAGATGACCGGATGTGGCGGTAACACCCATTTCCCTATTTGAGACTTCCGCTGTACTCTTTAAATTTCATTATCAATAAATAAAAGTTTTATTTCAATTATATCAATGTTTTGGGCGGGGAATTTGGGGGTGTTACAGCTATGTTCTGAGCTTTCCATGCCTGCATGTAAGAAATGGAAATGCCACGATTCAAAAGCATGTCTTCCCTTATTTCATTTGGTTTATAAGGCTTTCTCGACGCATCCAAAATTTTATGCGATATAAGGTCTCCAACAGTGCGGTAGGTTGCTTGGCGATGTTTGCCTTGGTGAAAATCAACAGAGCATGTATGTGATGATGTAAATCTACAAAAAATAAAGTAATAAAAATGTTAATATGAATACAATGTGGGAAAAATGCCAAAATAATGGAATAAAAAAGCAAGACAAAATGGTTAACTAAATATACAGTAATGGAGAAATACATTCGTATCTGAAACATTTGGACACCACGTAGTCTTACAGCCCTCACAAGCCATTTACATTTTTTTCGAAGCAGATAACGTGTAAAGATTTCTTCTTTGATGTAAGTGTCTTGAATCGAACACATTGTCTATTGCGTACAACTTCAAATGGCGAAGAAGATCCGCTTTAGACTTGTAAATATCATGCAATACAATTTGAGTGGGGTGATACTCCGTGATAGTGAGTGATGATTTCCAGATCATGATGAACACAAAAGGTGTCATTAGAAAGTAAAGAGGAAGGTGATGTACTAGAGCTAACTTCCGGGGTAGGACTACAAGAGAGCACATCTGTATTGGTCATATGAGTTTGGGAAGTGTCTATAACATTGACTTCATTGTTAACTTGGATGTGATGTTCTTCAATACTGTTGAAGGAAGAATGAACATGACCAGAAGATTTATTTGATGAACATGGAATTTCAGCTACAACAGTTTGTGCAACAGAAAATGTGGGATCAGATACAACAGGTTGGGCATCAGATTGGTCAACTGAAAATTCCACACACAAGGGAGATTTTTGAAAATCACTTTGAAGAGACTTAAGATAAAGGTAAAAACGAAACATTTCCTCATCATGGATAGAAACGGGTGGAGGACAACCATCAACCATGTAAGATAGTTTGAAGTGGTTAAATGATTTGTAAGGAGAAAATATGGAAGATAATTGTTCCATAAAAGTTGTGTATTTAGCAGAGAAAAGAACTTGCATAGCAAAGGTGGCACTGCAATTGAAGTTGTAGTCATTGTCCCAACTACCATTTACTTTCACCATAATAAGAAGAACAAAATCCATATCGACAAATAAGGAGAAAAAGAGTAACAAACAGAATTAAAATGTCATATATTGTAAAGCAAAATGCCAAGTTTATGGCAAAAACATAAAAAATGCAAGCACAAGGTTGAAAACATTCATGGCAGTGATAAAACAATGAATGTCACATGGAATAAAACATTATGATTTGATTAAGATAGGAAGGATAATCATGTTAGTAAAGCAAATTAAATAACAAACAATTGAAACAAAAGTGAAAACACAAATAACAATGCACAGAGCAGATTCAAAACATGTCATATATTTTAAATTGAATTTGTAAATAGTTTGGCAATAATATAACAATATGTTATATCAGCTCCATGAAGCCTGTGCGGCAGACATGCCGCCGGCGGAAGGAATCGACCCGGGAAGCTCCATGACGAAGGTCTCTTATGCGGTGGCGGTCAAGGATCCCATCCTAGGCCAGCGACTGCACTCTCAGAACGTTTCCTTTTCCGATGCGGCGGACCTGGGTTCCTCCGGAACCCTCAGTGGATTTCCGTCGATTTCCTTCTCTGTCAACGAGTTACGGATGCTCTCCCATCCTTTTCGGTACGCTCTTGTTGGCACTTTTCCATTCGGTCGCCCCCCCATATCTGCCATTCGCAAAGCTTTTGCAGCGATAGGGTTTTCTCAACCCTACTCGGTCGGTCAGATTCAATCGAACATTTTCCTGGTAAATTTCAAATCAGATCTCGATTTTCACAAATTTTGGGATAAAAGGTCCTGGGATTTTTTTGGGTTCCAGATGGCGGTAACCAGATGGACGCCGACGTTTTCTGTCGAGCGAGACTATCCTATTGCCCCCATCTGGATCTCCCTCGTCGGACTTCCCATCCACCTCCATGACTTACGTGCACTGAAATCAATTGCTAAACTGCTGGGGAAGCCCATCAGAATAGATATGCCTACTGCAAACTTTTCCAGACCTTCTACAGCTAGAATTTGCATTGAGATGGATATTTCACTTGATCTGCCACCAAAAATCTGGATTGGAAATGGTACAACAGGATTTTTTCAGCCTATTGTGTATGAAAATTTACCATTCTTTTGTAATTTTTGCTCTCGATTTGGCCACACTGATTCAGATTGCCCCAAAGGAACTACCTTAGCCCAAAACTCTTCCAAAAAACAGGTTATGGATGCTACATGTAGTGCCCCTGTTTTGGAAGAACTTCCAACAGGCCCCAACTGTTCTGTGGCTAAACCTGTTGTGAGTACAGCCCCTGTTTGTGATGCTGCTTTACTTCCTAATAATCCAGATGCTAATAGTACAGGTCCTTTACCCACTGATGAATCTATTGAACTCCAAACTGATGTTGAAAATGTGAATGATAGCCAGGTCTCCAATGTGGATGTGGTTCCTCACCACGATGCTGATCTAGGTCCTTTGTCCACTGTTTCTGTAGCTACTGACCTGCAAACTGTTGCCCCACCGGGTGAGAATAAACAACTACCATTTAAGCTGACAGCTACACGGAGTCACCACTACTCACTTCTGACCATATACCGAGTGATTCTGATATGGTTGTTTCAGCACAACCCTCCCCCCCTTTGGCTTCAGTCATTGCCATCTCTTTGGTTGCTTCGGAACTACCTTCCCTAAAAGCTTTTGAGGTTCCTGGAACCGGTGATACCTTTCATGATGCTGCAATTGCAGCCCCTCTTTCAGATGCCTTTGAGGATCATCAAAGGCAACATACAAATTTTGTACTTTCTGATGAAAAAACAAAGTCAAGTGCCCCCGGTGATGCAACATCTTCTACAAACAAAATTTATTCACGAACAGAATTTGATGCGACCCCGGTGGCTACCTGTAAAAAGGCGGTAACCGAGGGAGTTCAAACTATACGTGCAAGTCCCACTCTTGGAATTCCGTTTGATGCTAAATTTGGAAATGAAGAGCAAAATTCTGATCCATATTTGGCAATTAACCGTGCAGATACTTCACTTGCAGATACTCCCCAGTCCAATGATGATATTATATGAGGACACCCCTCTTATTACTAACTTTTCTAATGCAGGTCATCCACACTTACCACCACAGGAAGACCTAGACGGCTTCACTCCAGTGAAGGCAAAGAAAAATAAAGGCAACTGTGCCACGCCCCAAAATGCAAATCCGGAACCCAGACAACTATTCTACGAGGTGGGATACACATCACACCCGATGATCACAAGAAGTCAATCAAGACGCCCGCAAGATGAAGATGACTATTACATTTACCCGGTTGATGCAAGGCTGGACTCTCCACACAAACTGGCTATGGCACTCGCACGATACAGGTCCTCCAAACCGGAAGCAAAAACATATCAACCATATCTCCGAAAGGCTATTCAGTTCCATAACAGATATAACAGATCCATTTCGTCTACAGTCGGGATACCCTCAAAAAATTTCGACTGTTAAACCCTTGTTTTTAGCAGCTTTTGACTTTACGCTTTTCCTTAAAAAAAATCTATATATACACAATGGTAAGAAAAAAAAAATGTTAAAGAAGTGATTTGTTGCTCAGACAATACATTAGGATTTGATTAAGATAGGAAGCATAATCATGTTGAAAAAATTAAAAAGCATGATCATTGATATTGTTCATCATAGCAAACAATTGTTGTGCGAAATAGATACAATAACCATTACATCATGAAATTTAATACAAACAAAATAAAAGGCAATGATTCTGATCGTGAACTTGCATATAAAAAAATATAATTGCCAAATTGAATTTCACATACCGTCCAGTATAATCGCCAAGTTGAGTTGCAGAGCTGGTCGAACGGATTGGCATTGAGATTGTTGAGCTGCAGTGATGATCGAACAGATTGGTGTTGAGTTCGTTGAATTGCAGAGGTTATCGAACGGAATGAAAGAGACGTAGATCAACAAAGAAGAAAGAAGGCGGTGGCAATAACATATAACTAACGGGAGAAAAAAGGAAATATTAAAGTGTTAGGCGTATAACATACCAGTGGTAAAAAAGGAAGGGAAATGTAAGCACATTTCCAAATAGGACTAATATGGTCCTATTTTGAAATAAAAAGATAAGGAGTCCTATTTTAGCTTTTTTACACCGGTTTTACTCCTATTTGAGATAAAAACTAATACTTTTAAAGTATATTTTGAAGGATACCTATTTTTGGAAACTATTGGGTATTTATAAAAGATATTTGAAAAGTATTGTGAAATTAAATAAAACTTGAGTAATCTATGAACTACATGTTCATAATGATATCTGTGTAATCTATGAGCTATATATTCATAATGATATTGGAGTAATCTATGAATTAAATGTTCACAATGACATGAGAGTAATCTGAGTAATCTATGATCCCTAAATTCATAATGACAATTTGAGTAATCTATGAACCCCAAGTTTATAATGACATCTTTTGTAATCTATAAACTCCTAAGTTCATAATGACATCATGAGTAATATGTGAACTACATGTTCATAATGATCCTTAGAGTAATCTATGAACAATATGTTCACAATGGACAAACCAATAGCCACCTCAGATATTAATCTAAGTTGGAATACGTTTTGTGAAATAAAGAATAAATGTATTTGGAGAGTTATTTGTGAATAAGTATAAATTAATGATATTTTAGCTATCAAAGCTATTTTTGGAAAGTGAATCTTTGGAAATGGATACTTTACTCCTATATGGAGATGTGAATTATTTAATTTTTATAAATATTATTTTTAACTATAAAGGTATTTTCAAATTTTAAAGCTGTTTTGAATGATAAATGATGTTCTTAACATATTATAGTATATTTTGGTAAGTAAATGAACTTTTAGAGTTATAGTAAAAAAAAGGTGTACTACAAAGAACTATTTTTGGGCAACTTATATTATTTTACAGGGTCGTGTAGTGCTTACCTAGCGTTATGTTAATTTTAGTTGGTTGTGCGTTCTTTCCCTTCTCCATTATTTGAACAAGTGATGATTATGAAGTGCGTGATGATTGATTGTCCCGAGAGCGGTCTAAAGATGCCTTAGTTGAATCTAGTCTTTAATAAACAATTATTTAAGTTTTGAACACTTAGACATGCATGTTATTGTTTGGTCGAATGTGGAGGTAACACTCTTTCCCTATTAAGACTTCCGCTGTATTACTTTAAATTTATTATTATAAAATAAAAGTTTTGTTTCAAATATATCAATTTTTTGGATGGGAATTTGGGTGTGTTACAAGCGAGTGGTTGAGGCAGCGACAAGAGCTTCCCGTGCGAAGAAGCAGTATGCTGCCCAAGGTGGTTCAATTGAGCCTTCCTCTCCAGCACTTCCTTAGGACTTTATCTCCTTTTGTAGCTTATTTGTTCTTGTACGTGTATCTTATTTTCACTTGTTGCATCTTTTGGCCGGTAATACCGAATAATAAAACTATACTGTTTCTGGATCCATTATTTCTTCCATTATTCCAATAGCAGCTGGCCTTCCACACCCGTTCGTCCTTCGTCTTGGCGGTTCGCTTTTGATAAGGTGATCAAGATTAAATATTACTCCAATTTCTATTTTTCCGTCTACCGAATCGAGTGGGTGGGGAAGAGCGGATCATCTCCAAACCAACCGGTCATTTGTAACCATCCGACCCTTGGCCTCGGCGGTCCTGTATTAAAACAAGACGATCGAGATAAAATATTACTCCATACCCGTCGACCGAATCGAATGGGGTGGGGAAGAGTGGATCACCTCCAAACAAACTAGTCATTTGCAACCGCCCGACTCTTTGGCTCAACGGTTCGCTTATGACAAGATTATCGAGACAAAATATTACTCCATTCCCCAAGCTCCCGTTGACCGAATCGAGAGGGGTGGGGAAGAGTGAATCACCCCCAAACCAACAGGTTATTTGCAACCATCAACCATAAAATCTCCCATATCTGATACATTAAATGTCCTTCCTGCCAATTCTAGCTTTCCCGCCAACTGTTTGGGAAGTTCTTCCTTGAACAGTTGATAGATCGAATAGAGAAGCCCAAGTGAGGGGATCGACCCGAGCGGCACTACCCGTGCAAATAAGCCGTGCGAGCTTCCTGAATTGATTGGACTGCGATCAATTACATATGCGGATTGGGCTTTCTCAGGTATTTGAGTTTGAGCAAAATATCCCATGAATCTCATTAATTAGCTGTTGTAGTTGGAATTAAACTCCATTATTGTCAAACATATAAGTAAAATCTTAGTTTTTTTTTAAAATATTGCCAAAGATAAAAGGTAGGAATTTAACATGTATAGTTATACATTTCTTAAGACTTCATCCAAACAAACCCTAAGACCAATGCATGCTTTGAGAATAAGAAGAATATTTTTCACTTCTCTCTCCCCTTTATGATATGGAGATGATGATCTTGATCATATGAATCTCTATAGCCGAACGCATCTCATCCTATCGCACCGCACGCCTCCTGAAACCACACCACACTTCGCTGTAGAACTGTCATTGTGAAGCCGAAGAAGCTTTCTACCCTCTCCGACTGGTCAAGGGAGCAGGGGAATTGGAGCCGAAAGCTGAGTCTATTGCTCTACATTACTGTGACTAGTGGGAGAGAATGAAATGAATGAAGCGCCTCAATGGGCTGAGAAGGGGAGCTATCTGCTCACAAAGCCATGTGGTCCTCCTTCTGGAGATCCAGAAATCGTTTCTCATTGGACGAGCTCAGGTACTTATTTTGTCAATTTCAAATTAGTTTTCAAAATTTCATATCCGGAAGTCGAAACTATCTCTTATTCTTAACACGATTGAAGTGATTGACGCGAATTATGTGGTTTGAATGGTATGTTGGCTTATGTCAGAGTGATCCTGCTGCCACCTAATTAGAGTTGTGATATTAATTGCAAGGGAAGGGACACTAAGCCCATTCGTCTGTAAACCTTTACTGTATGCTCCTGCTTTGGATATCAGACGAAATGTACAGTTGGTCACTTGGTGAAGCTTGTTTAGTTTCTCCAGTAGTCTACTGGTCATTCATATTTGCAAAAAAATGCCTTTCCCCTTTCTTCTTATTTTCTTGATGAAATATCACTCTACAGAAAATGAGAAATGCATTTCTATTCTCATTTTGATAATAACCAACTCTAATACTTAAAAAAATCTTTTTTATGTTTAGGAATTAGGAGTATTTCTTATTTCTGGCTTCAATTTTGGTGAAGAGATATATTGTAGGGGATGTTGAGGCATCTTTCTTGTGTAGTAGTTTACAGGATAAGGTTTGATCAACACTTTAAATGTAATAAAGTATATTTTTAACAAGCTGGACAAAATACAAAGCAGAGCTTGAAATGCCTACAGACAAAATTGGAGCATTCACTAAATTGTAAGTGGTATAATGGGATTGGGCCTAACACATCAAGGTTCTTCTTTTCACCAAAACTGAAAAGTTTTGTTCTTACTCTGAAGTGCTGAAACAAGGATAATAATCTAGAATTAGCTGTTGGATCCTCACACTAACTGAGGAACCATATGAGAATTTGTACTTTGTTACACTTCAGATCTTGTACAGATCAGTCTTTAGCCTACTAATACCCCGGACAGTAACAACAAACCGTAAACATTTGGGCTAATGCTAGGGACAAAATAACTTGATCTATTGACAGCATTATTGTGGTAAAAGTTGTAATGATGTATGAATCATTATCACAACACACTTTGCTTGTGGGGTTGGGGTTGTAAGACTCAATGCTGTGAAATGGATTGAGCTGGACTCGAGGTATTTCTGGATGAGGATTTACGAGTTTGCTCTCTCTGAGATGTTCTTGATCGCTCCAGTTAGGCTGAATTCATTATGTACTTCCTGAATTTTAATTCATCCATCTATGTGTTTATATAACCCTTCTGCTGTCTACACTCCAGTTCACAGTGTGCTCCTTCTCATATGCAGATATATTACTGATCAGTTGATGAAAGTTCAAATTGTTAATGAAGCTAATACGGTGATTAAACTATTCACATGTTCTATTTCTTATATTTCTATGTCAGACCTACTAGATACTACTTTCATATAACCATCCTAATTTCTATATGTTCTTCTGATTTATTAATCAAGGATTTTGTAATCGAGGCACTGCGATCAATCGCAGAGTTGATAACATATGGTGATCAACATGATGTAGCTTTTTTTGAGTACGGGCTTAATCCTCTCCTCTGCTTCAGATATTCTCTTATTCATTAAAGGTCACTCTGAACGTCAACAGTTCTTGCATTATATGATTTTGGATATTCTTTAGGTTTTTCATGGAGAGACAGGTCATGGGGGAGTTCGTACGTATTTTAAAAATTAGTAGAACTATTATTGTGTCGCTACAGTTGCTGCAGACAATGAGTATTATGATCCAAAACTTAAGAAGGGAACAGTCTATATGTGAGTCACTTTTCATACATTTCTACTTTTCCTCTTCTTTTTCTTCTGATGCCATTTTCTTTTTCTAACTTTGCAGATTATATTTTTTGTAATGAGCACATTAATTACCTTATATCTTACTCCTTTGACTTTCAAAATGAAGAGCTATTGTCTTACTACATATCATTTCTGAGGTTTGTTTCATATAAATCAATTGTGTAATGCATTAACCTTTTCCCCCATAATGCTATCAAGTGTTAATAATCTTCTTTCTATGTAATGATGTTGTTGTTTATTTATGTTTTTAATTATATTTGTCAATTCCGAAGAGCAATAAGTGGAAGGTTGAACAAGAACACTATTTCTCTTCTTGTCAAGACACAAAGCGTAAGTTCAGTTTTTACCAGCTTTTAACTTCCTATGTAAAGATTTGCACCTTTATAGACATTGCGTTTGTATATAGAGAAACTAATCTCTTCATACTCCATGGTAAACTGTTTTGCTAGTGAAGCACTAATGTAGTAATGTGCCACTTATACATTTGGTACATAAGAGCTGGTTTGTTGGGCGGAGGGGGGGTGGTGTTATTTTCTTTAAAAAGTTATATAGTGAAACTTTCTTCTTCTTTTTAGAATGTGTTAGAGTTCTATAACGTTTGGATTACTGGATTTATATATAATGAAAAACATGACATGTTTCATTAGGACTACTCTGATATGGATGCATTTTAGGGTTGTGCCTATCAGCGACGCCTATTGGGCCAAAGAGGCACAATCAGTGCAAGTGAGGACTGAGGCCCAAGCAGAACATGTAGCCCTGAAGACTAAAAGTGGCTAACTTGAGCAGGACGATTATTTATTTATTATAATTTATACGGAGTAATTTATTATTAGTTTCCTAATCAGACTACTATTGTTATTTCCTATTCCAGTTATAGGCAGTTTCTTCTTATCATTATGTCCTATTAGAATTAGGGGTCTTATGGTAGCTATATAAGGGACCCTGATATTGATTAATAAGACACTTAAAAGATTAATTCTTGGAGGTCTGGACTAGGTCAGACACCAGATTAATTCCAACAGAGCACTATTATTTGCGTTTCTCTTATGGTGCTCATTATAGATACGAAAATTGATCTTTATGTTTGCCCTAGTTTGCTTCTGTTCTAGACCTTGAATGAGATCTTGTTCGCGCGCTCTTAACCAACTCTCTGATATAAACTTTTATAGCCTGAAATATTCTGTGAATTCTGTCGGTGCAAGAGAAATTGTGTACATGTTTAAGAAACACCCAAACCCATTGCATGACTAGTTGTGCATGATAATCTCTTAGGTCATGTGTGTAAACTAATGCACATCCATTACTACTTATGAGGAATTCCACCTATGTTTAGCACACATTTGAAGTAGATGAATGCGAATTTCAATTACCTATCCTCTCAAACTATTCTGCAGCCCTGCACCCCCAATGATTTCCTAAGGGTTTAATGGCTTTAAAGAATAATACAGTTCCATTTTTCTTATATGCTCTCTTAGGATGAAGTAGTTTCATTTCCACTTTATGTGGAGGCAATACGGTTTGCATTTCATGAAGAAGGCATGATTCGAACTGCAGTCCGTGCTTTAACACTGAATGTTTATCATGGTGACTTTCTGTCTTCTGTTATACTTTTTTCTCAGCATAAGCTCATCAGTCAATGTAAATATTCTTCTTCTTTCACGAACTAAAACCTTGTACTCTGTTCACAGTTGGTGATGAGGCTGTTAACAGATATGTAGCCAGTGCACCTCATGCAACTTATTTCTCAAGTTTGATCACATTTTTCCGAGCGCAATGCATCAGCTTAAATAGATTTGTGTCAAATACCTCAATGTAAGTTCTGATTGTTTGTTTCTTCAGTAAATTATCATTTACTTTATGAGCTAAGATCACCTCATGGTTTTTGACACAGGAGTTTGGGTGCAGATGCAATCTCTTCTGTCAATCCATCGGTTGATGAGATCGAAGACAATCTGTACTACATCAGTGATGTTATTTCAGCTGGAATTCCAGATATTGGGAGGTTGATTACAGACAACATATTGAAGTGTTTGATATTTCCGTTGGTTCTCCCTTCTTTAAGGACAGAAACTATTGATGTAAAGAACTAGATTCAACCTATTTCTCTTACCTTGTAGTTAATGTTTTCTCATTAGTTTAGGGTTTTGATTCTTTTGAAGCATATTAATGCATCGTTAAGGTTATTACTAATGCTAAATGTTTCTGTTTGGCTAATACAGGATGCAGAAATTGGCACTGCAACTTCTTTGTATTTACTTTGTAGCATTTTACGTATTGTTAAGATCAAAGATCTAGCAAATAGTATTGCTGCTTCCCTTCTATGCTGCATAGAAAGTTTCTGGCACAGATCTGAACCCAATATCAATGGATACATGTCAAGTGATTACTTGATGGAAAAATGTATACAATCTGATATTGGTGACGTAAAGCTGAAACCTGAAGAAAGACTTTTACAGGTTTCTGTAACAAACTTATCTAGTTCACAGAATCATTCGGAAGGCATCTTGCATCAGGAATGCAGTGGCTCCCATTTTGCACCAAGGTGTTCACTGTTATTTGGCATTTTCCAGTTTTTGTTTGTTTTTATGATTCAACTTTGTTACCTTTTTTGTAGCGACCCGCACACACAAATGTCCATTTTGTATGCTGCTTGCTTAAAACCTACATTTTGTGATTATTACGAGTATGAATTGACCAAAAAGTTGAACAGATTGGCTTTCTTTGTCCTAACTTCACCGTCACGTTGTATCTGATCAAATGTATTAAGAGGCTGACAATCCACTGATACTCTGCTGCAGGGAGGCCTTGGTTTCTTATATCATCTGCGGTGACGATGTTCAGGTTTCAGGTTCTTTAAGTGTGCTGGCCACTCTATTACAAACCAAAGGTTGTATTACTGAACTTCTTGCCTTCTTCTGAAGTACTGCTACCTGTTTTTAACAATAATTTTCATCTTCAGAACTGGATGAAGTAATGTTAGATGCTCTTGGAATTCTTCCACAGCGGAAACAACAAAAAAAACTCTTGCTGGTATGTGGCTGCTTGAATTACCTTTGATAGCAATATCCAAAATCGAAATGGACCACGTAATGTAAATTATACATTTCTACCTTATCTCATAACCGTTTTTGTTTGCTGAAATGTTTAAAGAATATTTAAAAGATTTTAGAGCTAGTGCCAGCTGGTGCCCTTGATGAATCATCCTTTTGCTAGAAGCTAGATCTAAGTAGTTAAATTGTCATTTGCTAGCTGCTCAGTCTTAGGCCGTGTACAGAATAGGATCAATTAAATTGAAGTCCTTGACTTATTCTGTAATCCTATAATGTCCCAATTTTAATTTTAATTATAATTTTTAATAGGACACGCTGAATCGCCAAGACTGCCGATTACACGTCAAGTAACTTTATTTAACCAGATTAAATAAAATTGCCCCGATGTATTAAAACTAGGTGACCTAATCACATGGCGATTATCAATTTTGAAATAGTTCGGTTGGTCATCGATATTTGCACTTTTCAACGTGTCTGATATTGAAAGAGGACTGAACTGATATTTCTGTTCATCGATTGCAGTACCAAAAATAATGGATATATATCGACAGTTTTTATGGAAACATGGATGGATATAATCGACTTCAATAATGAAGTACAAAGTAATTAAAATACCAAGAATTTTGATTGACATTGAGGAAATACAGAGAATATCGGCCTATCGAGCTATGTCATTGTTAGAGCACTGAAATTCTATAATTCAGAACAGTATGTAATCAGTGGAAATGAACAAGCACAGATCAAAACACTTTATTCACAGAGATGAACAGATCACAGAAGGGATACAATACAATGGACCATTCGAGATGCCCAATTTCCTAGCCTAGCCAAATCCAACTGAATACTTGCCTACCTATTTTCCTCCCCTCCCCTTCTATTTATACTACTACATGTACACTTACTATTATTATTATTATTATTTTTATTATTTCTTATAATTAGCCTACTAAGCCAGATTCCTATCAATACTCCCCTCCAAACAACCACCTTGTCCTCAAGGTGGGTGATATGAATCAGCCATGATCTTCCACTCCCACTTCATTCTTGCACCTCTCCCTTCCCAATACTTTACTGATTTATGGGCTTTTAGCTTCTGTGCTTGGATCTTCATCATTACTTCCTTCACCTTTGGCTTTTCACTCCATCCAAGTAATTCCTGCATCTTGTTGTTGTCATTACTTTGGCGGATTATTCCTTCAGTCTGCTCTAAAACTTCTAGAGCCTCAGAGCTGGTAAAAGGATCTGCCCTGAAATTAGCTCATAGTATCTCATAAATCCTATGCATAGTGTGGTTGATGAGTGATGAAATTAACTGCTTGATGTGTGACCAATCGACTCCAGAGTCTGTATCAGTTAAAAACTGTGACAATGCTTGACAAGCATTTACTTTTACAGAAATTGCTCTAAATAGGAGCAAGACCGTTTTGAAATTCCAAAATAGGAGTATCATGTTTTTTATTCCTTGAATAGGAGTAATCTGCCAAGTTTGGAAAAAAATGCCATGTTTAAAGCCTAGTAATGTCAAACTTGGCAGAAATTTACTCATATTTAAGGAATAAAAAACATGATAGTCCTATTTTGGAATTTCAAAACTTTTTTACTCCTATTTAGGGAATTCTCTCCTTTTACAGGAGGAGGCACATCCATGCCGATTACCTTAACTGCCGCATACACAAATTGCTTATCAACCCCTGTTGCAATGTCTTCTACACGAATTTTCTCCCAAATATTTCCTACAGTAGCACCACAATTTTCAGAAACCCTTGTTACCAATATCTTCTCTGACACTGAAGCTACGGTGAAAAAAGTAGTGTCTGGTATTCTCCACCCAACCGGGGATCCCGCAAACTTCTCCTGCCATGATTCAATAAACCTTTTTTCTTCCACTTTAGCAAAGAAATGGTTGGTTATTCATCAACCAGATCCTGGTGTGGGCCTGCTGCTTTCTTATCTGCAGAAAAACAATGACACTACACCAACTCCTCCAGACTATGCATCATTACCTTTACACACTTCTTGCTATCCAAAATTGTCAAGAAGAGCTTAGATAGATTGCCTGAAGGTATTTTCTGTTTCCAGCGACGAAAAGGAGTACCAGAGTGAAGGAATTCCTGGATGAATAATCAACTATAGCCCAAAGAGACACAGGATACTCTCTTAAATCATTATAAGATCTTTCAGTAAGTGTGTTGATAATCACCAAGTACTCAAAGAGTCAAAGTTTGTACTCTCTTTTCTCTTCCAACTTTCCTTAGAGATTTCAATCCGCATTTTGTGTATTCCTATGAACTCAGGACTATCAGAATCTGAAACCATAACATTTTCCTTATACTTTCCGGTAAATCCTACTCCCATTTCATTTAGAATATACTTCAAAGAAGGAACACCATCAATCTTATTCAGCCCTTCCAAACTATTGATTAGTAAACAAGGGTGCATAATTTCCGTTGGAACACCCAATCCAAGTTCCGAAACTCTACCAATCCAAGATTTAAAATCTTCTGGTTTTCGATCTAGGGCACCAGTATAGCCTCAAACTTCATAGGTAAGGTTATCTGATTTGCGCGCTTCGGACTCTTCTAGATTATCTGGTGAATCAACGCTTTCTGCTGCTTGCCGAATATCATCCTTCATCTCCAATTCTTGAACTGAAGATGTAGACAGCGTCAGCTTCAACTCCATGTTCCGTGTAGCCGGTGGAGTTCCAAGCAATGAAAGTTGCACCTGGTGAGAGACGACTAGCGAAGACGAGTCGTGAGAGTCCTCGAATGAGGAAGTCGGCGATCTTGGAGAAACGAGAGAAAGAGTTCGCGATTACGAACTGAGAGATTGGGTTCGCGACTGCGAACTGTGATATGAACTTGGAGCAGTTTGCTGGACTAGCGACTGCGAACAGGAATCTTCTACTTGCGACGTCGTCTGCCCACCTGGTGAGAGACGACTAGCGAAGATGAGTCGTGAGAGTCCTCGAATGAGGAAGTCGGCGATCTTGGAGAAACGAGAGAAAGAGTTCGCGATTACGAACTGAGAGATGGGGTTCGCGACTGCGAACTGTGATATGAACTTGGAGCAGTTTGCTGGACTAGCGACTGCGAACAGGAATCTTCTACTTGCGACGTTGTCTGCCCACTAGGAGCTACTGTTCACTGCGAATCTAGCGAACCGGAAAAAACTTCTCGCGATGACGATATATGAGGAACAAGTTGCGACAGAGAACTGGAAGTGTGAGGATGAACAGTTCGCAACGAAGATTTAGAACTGGAAGCCGATAATGAAGCCTGCGAACTGAGATATGTTGTTGGCGACAACGACGGCCACTGTTTTTCAGATGACCTGCGAAGTTGATGACCGATCTTGTTTATTCTACTCCACATCTCCGCAGCGCAATCATCGAAGGGTTGTTGATTTTGTTCAACCTTTTTCAGGTTATTCTCCATGTGCGAAGGTTTCTCGCGGATAGAAGAGGTCTGATACCAATGTTAGAGCACTGGAATTCTCTAACTCAGAACAATATAAAATCAGTAGAAATGAACAAGAATAGATCGAAACACTTTATTCACAGAGATGAACAGATCACCGGGATACAATACAATGGACCATTCGAGATGCCCAATCTCCTAGTTTAGCCAAATCCAATTGAATACTTGCCTACCTATTTTCCTCCGCTCCCCTTCTATTTATACTACTACATGTACACTTACTATTATTATTATTTCTTATTATTAGCCTACTAAGCCAGATTCCTATCAGTCATGCGAATATAAAAAAGAGAATGTCATGGTAATTTGAAAGCATCATGATATTAAAAGCGAGTATGTGATACAATCAATAATCTTGTACCAAGTAATTGTGATGCTATTATGCCTTTAGAGCCTGTTTGGTAACACTGAAATTGACTGAATTGGCTGATTCTACTGAAATTTATGAAGTTGTGGCTGAAGTGGCTGGTATGGCTGATTATGCTGATTTAAGGAAAAATTATATTTAAAATATTTTTAATTTTTAATTAATAAAATAAAGAAAAAATAATATGAATAAATAGCTAAAATGATCCTCTACAGTAACTTCAGCCAATACAGCCAGAAAAGTAACTCCAACCTTACTTTTTCTTATTATTACACAATTCAGCGCATGAAATCAAAAGTTACGTGTTTGGTGAAAAGTTTGCTAATAAGCCTGATAAACCGAAAAACAGGGTCACCAAACGGGCTCTTAGAGCGATGATAATATATTTTACTTTCAATATATTTGTAAATATGGCGTCTTTTTATCACAATCTAATGTTAAATTTTAAGAACAAAGGTGTTTAAAAATAAGCTCTAAAATTTGATGGTTATGTAACTATGTTCTAAATATTTAATAGTCCCTCCGTCCCTTAAAACTTTGCCATCTTTCATTTTTTGGACGCCCCAAAAAACTTTGCCACTTTCCCTTTTAATCAATTATTTTTTGGTTTCTGTTATTTCTCTCTCCTCTGCACAAACCTCAACCACACAGTTTTTACTTTATTATTCTCCGTGCCGGTCAACTTTGGCAATGTTTTGAGGGACGGAGGTAGTAATTTTTTTACACTTTTATTTTTATTAATAATGATTTTGGTAGGTGTGGATATTTCATAGAAGTAAAATACCAATGTTTCTAATGCTACCAATATATTCAACCTTGGCAATTACTTGAGAATCCAAGTATTAAGTATTAACCTCTTGACATGTCTGGAGAGAAAGTGGGTGACCAAGACCCATGTTAAGAGACTTGTAGACTTTATAGTAGGATCATGATTTGTTGAATTGATGTTGATGTACATTGAAGATCAAATGCACCTTAACTGTAATGTACAATAAAATAATGATATATCCACTCACGTTATCAAATTTGTATTAATATACCCCCTATATTCCTACTTCTGGCCTAGAATGACCATATTCTCTGTCTTTTTTAATCTGTCCTTGTATTAAAACCATGCACATTAAAAGATAATTTCCCATTTACCCTTATACTATTCAATTACCATTTGTCAAGTGGACATTAATGGAAGGGTGACTTTCAGTGAGGAAATTTTAGTAAAAGTATTAAAAGATTGATTATTTTATTACTCCAATACATTTCTTAAACTATTTGTTTTTGTCAGCCTAGACATATAAATAAGAATGTAGGGAGTAGTTCAAATTCATGCATATGTTTTTGCAATTCTTGCTACCCTTTTATTCAAAAGTTGAAGGATATTTGCTGTTCTGGTTTTCGTTTTTGCAACTGCAGCAAGCTTTGGTTGGTGAGGAATCTGGTGAGGAGCAACTTTTTTGCCCTCAAAATAATGTAGTCAAAGATGGCTTCAGTGGTGAGCTTAATAGTTACCTACAAAAGCTTAAGGTACTAATGTTGCATGACTAGCATCATTCCTATTCTTTCTAGTCATTTCTCTAGAAGACAAATAAATTATCAGTTATTATATTCATATTATTGCAGATTTCAGTTACAACTATTATTATTTCAGATATTATATTCATATTATTGCAGATAAGTAAATAGATTACCTTATAGGCTCTCCTTCTGGTTGTATAAATTGGACTTCAAGATTAGTAATTCAATCAAGCATTTTCAACCTAAAATCCTCTATCTTTCTAAAGTTCAATATGGTATCACAGCCACACAAGCTTTAACCAGCTGTCTCCCTTCTCCTATGACCGCAGAGGACTCCCCCTGCCGCCTGCCGGACAGTCTGCCATTATCCTGAGCAGTCTACCATTCCTTCTGGAATTTCTTCTACCACAGTCAACAACCCTCTCACCCCAGATGGTCTAATCATGCTCAACCCAGCCACTTCCCAGAAAAACTTGAAGGGACGAATTACCTAATATGGAGTGACCAAGTGACCTCTTGGTTGGCTCTCATCTCGACCAGTACATCGATGATGATGCTGTTCTGACACCTAAAAGTGACACCACATGCTGTCTCCGGTGGAATAGGTAAGACCGTCTCCTCCGACATGCTCTTGTCTCCTCCCTCAGCTCAGGGTGCAAACCTTTGGCCGGCTTTGCACGCACCTCTGCAGCAGTTTGGAAAACTCTTGAATGACTATACAGTACGCGGTCAGCTTCCCAGATTCGGAGCCTCTAAGACAGATTTTCGCCATAGTCAAAGAATACCTCCACCAACTTCTCACTCCGGCTGGCTGACCACTAGACGATGAAGACTTAGTCCTCCAAGTTCTAGAGGGGCTTCGCCCAGAATTTGCATCGATTGAGAACTTGATTCTCACTTCTGGAGATAACCGATTCAAATATATCTATGGGTTGCTTGTCGGCTTCGAGGATAAACTATGATGGAAAGAATCTATAAACTCATCTGGCTTTGTCACAACAATAGAATTCACTGTGAGTACTGTCGATTCTGTTGCTCTTGCGGCTCGTAGGGGATCAACCGTATATCAGAGACCAAACTCAGCATCCATATATATATATATATATATGAAGTTCTAAATACATATTTTTAAAGCTATATTTGTAAGTGTTGATAAAACGAAGAGACATCATTAATCTAGGATTTATTTTCCTTATTATTACTGTAATTATGTGTCTTTAGTGCTTCAGGTTGTATTTAATAGCTGCTGTCTTTTCAGTTCTCAATCATTTATGTTTAGTATTTAGACAGTCACCTAGGGTGCGGAATAGACTCTCTCAGGATTTCTATCTGTATAAATAGCTTATGTACTTCTTGTAAATGAATTCAAGGAAATAATATTCAGAAAACTTCATGGTATCAAAGCTTGGTTTCGTCTAAGCCTTTTTTGAGTCTATCACCTCTCCAACGGTCATTTTTTGGGTGTCTCTACCCTTCTCTCTCTTTAACTCCCGGTGGAGTCTCTTCATCAAGGGTTTTATCATGTCTAAAGAAGCCGAATCAGCCTCAAGTAACCTTGATCACTCAACCATTGTTTCAGCTGCTACTGCAGCCGCGTTTGCTCTTCGAAACCAGAAATTTGATCTCCCTTCTATCCCGCCATCTTACCGTCTCAATGGCAGGAACTATCTTGGGTGGTCAAAGCTGGTTTACACTCTTCTACGTGGCAAAGATCTTGAAGACTGTCTCACTATCTCTACCCCAGAAGAAGGAGAGATTGATGCTGCTATTTGGGAGAAAACTAATGCCAACATACGGGTCTGGTTATGGGACTCTATGGATCCCAACATTAGCAATACATGTTTATACATGGGACTCGGCTAAAGAAATCTGGGATTTCATACAGCAGTCCTACTCTGTTGCTAAAGATGGCGCTTTTGTCTATGACTTATGGCTCAAAACAACGAATCTTAAGCAAGATTCACAATCTGTCACAGATTATGCAATTGACCTCCAACGACGATGGTCTGAACTTGACCAGTATCAAACGATAAAGTGGTCGAATGCTGCAGATGCAGCTCTTCACAAGAACTATATAAATCAGCAACGTCTATATTGCTTCTTGTCTGGTTTGAATCCCGAATATGATCAGACTCGGGGTCAAATTCTTGGCATTACTCCTCTGCCTTCCATATCTTCTGCCATTGCCACTATCAAACATGAAGAGAGCAGACGCAATATAATGATGAATACAAATCTGATTGACAGTACAGCTCTTGCTGCCAAATCTACTCCTTCAGATGTTAAGGAAACTAAGGGTAGTAAGGGAGGAAGATGGTGTGATCATTGCAAGCGGTCCAACCATAATGTGGATACATGCTGGAAACTTTATCCTCATCTACAGAAAGAAAGAAAAAGCCAGGACAGACGTGGAACTAGTGCTGGACGTGCCAACTCAGTCACTCCCACTATTGTTGAGAGCTCTACTAATCTTTGGCCCATTTCCCAGGAGGAATTAAAGCAACTTCGTATGATGTTACAGTCTCTTAATAACTCAAATGGTTCTGGTCATAGCTCTTTGGCCCTGCAAGGTAAAACCTCTACTATTTTTTGTCTTAATGCTTCGGAACAGAGTTCACAATCCCAATGGATATTAGACTCAGGTGCCACATCTCATATGACTGCCATACCCTCTTTACTCTCTAATTATCATCCATGTTTTACATCCACACACATCACTACTGCTGATGGGACACCTATAAACAGGTTCACTCCATTGTTGACGCATGACCAATTGGCTGACCCAGGTAATGTCTCTTCTTCTCCACCACCATCTCCGCCAATTGCTTTACGCAAGGGTGTACGTCAATGTACCAAAACACCTCTATACCCTCTTGCTAATTTTGTTACCATTGATAACTTCTCTCCTTCACATGCCTTGTTTGTTCAGAGACTTAATGAAATTCCCATACCCAACTCTGTTTCTGAGGCATTAGGAAAGAAAGAATGGAGGGATGCTATGCAAGAGGAAATTAGAGCTCTTGAAAAGAACCATACTTGGGATATTGTGACTAAACCTCCTGGGAGGCATGTTGTTGGTTGCAGGTGGATCTTTACTGTCAAATACAAGGCTGATGGATCTCTTGAGCGGTACAAAGCTCGTCTTGTGGCTAAAGGATACACTCAGACGTATGGGATTGACTATCAAGAGACCTTTGCTCCTGTAGCTAAGCTCAATACTGTCCGTATCCTACTATCCTTGGCATCTCACTTTGATTGGCCTTTATTGCAATTTGATGTCAAGAATGCTTTTCTCCACGGTGACTTGCATGATGAGATCTACATGTACATTCCCCCAGGCTTTAATAAAACATCAACAAGAACCTCTACACATGTATGCCAGTTAAAAAAAGCCCTCTATGGTCTCATGCAATCCCCTCGTGCTTGGTTTGACCGCTTCACACAGGTTGTTCTTGCTGCTGGGTATAGTCAAAGCCAAGGGGATCATACTCTTTTTTACAAACACTCTCACCCAAATGGAGTCACTATTCTTTTAGTATATGTGGATGACATCATTGTGACGGGTAATGATCCAGTTGAGAAACAACGTCTTGAGGGGCAGCTGAAATCCAAATTCGAGATGAAGTCTCTTGGCCCTCTAAAATACTTTCTTGGAATTGAAGTTGCTCGCTCATCTGAAGGCATCGTTATTAGCCAACAAAAGTACATTACAGATTTGTTAAATGAGACTGGTAAGAGTGCTTGTCGACCGGTTAATGCACCTATGGATCCTAATCATAAGCTTGGACTTGTTACTGATGAACCCAAGGTTGATTCATCAATGTATCAGCGCTTGTGTGACAAACTTATCTATCTCTCTCATACTAGACCTGACATTGCCTATGCAGTTAGTGTTTTGAGTCAGTTCATGCATGATCCAAGGAAACCACATCTAGAAGCAGCCTATAGGGTTCTTCACTACCTAAAAGGAAGTTCAGGGCAAGGGATAATATTCAGGAAGGGTGGGAAATTATCAGTCCAAGCCTTCACTGATGCAGATTATGGTGGCTCCCTCGTTGACCGCTGGTCAACTACTGGCCTCTGTGTTTTCCTAGCAGGAAACCTCGTGACATGGAGAAGCAAAAAAACAGAATGTTGTGGCACGATCATCTGCTGAATCTGAGCTAAGAGCTCTTGCCCATGGCTTATGTGAACTTCTATGGATCAGAATTATTCTCTTAGATTTACGAATCAAGTGGAAAGGACCAATGGAATTGAGGTGTGATAACAAATCAGCAATCAACATAGCTCATAATCCAGTCCAACATGATCGGACCAAGCATATTGAGATTGATAGGCACTTTATCAAAAAAAAAAGGTTGAAGGAGGTCTGATCGAACTAAGCTACACTCCCTCAGAAGATCAAGTTGCAGATGTGTTTACCAAACCTCTGCATAGTCCTAGGTTCCAGGGTCTTATTGTCAAGCTAGGCATGACGGATATCTACAAACCTAGCTTGAGGGGGAGTGTTGATAAAATGAAGAGACATCATTAATCTAGGATTTATTTTCCTTATTATTACTTTAATTATGTGTCTTTAGTGCTTCAGGTTGTATTTAATAGCTGCTGTCTTTTCAGTTCTCAATCATTTATGTTTAGTGTTTAGACAGTCACCTAGGGTGCTGAATAGACTCTCTCAGGATTCCTATCTGTATAAATAGCTTATGTACTTCTTGTAAATGAATTCAAGGAAATAATATTCAGAAAACTTCAGTAAGCTATATTATATTTGTAAGCTATACTATATTTGGTATCATGCCTGTCCCAAGCCAGTATAAAGGAGGAGGGTGCTGTGGTAGGCGCGTGATGGCCAACAGTATCACTTGGTCGCATCACATGACATGAATCGAAATATGAATATCGCTACAACTAGGTCATCGCCTGTAAGGGACATGCCATCCCTCCGCCTGGGGTGATGTCAAATATGCAAAGATGCACTACACTTAATAGGCCTGGGTGTGGTGATATGAATGCTAAGGTTTCAAGATCGTCGCCCGAAAGTGACGCACCACTCCAATGCCCAGAAATTGTGTCAAGTATGCTAGGGCATGGTGGGGGTTGATGTGGTGTGACCATGTGAAGAAAAGAAGGCATCGTGCTAGATTGCGTTTTGGAACGTGAAATGTTGGCTCTCTTACGAGAGAATCATGTAAGATAGCCGATGTTATGAAGATGAGGAATATCAACATAATGTGCATTCAAGAAACTAAGTGGGTTGGAGAAAAGGCACGTGAGAATAATTCCTGAGGTTTTAAGTTGTGGTATTTGGGGAGAGAGGAACAGAAATGGAGTAGGCATTATGGTGGCACATGATTATGTTGAGGGTGTGGTGGAACTGTGGAAGTCTTTAGGAAGTACGATCGCATCATGAGCATTAAGTTGATAATAGAAGATGAGATCATGTCCGTGGTAAGTGCCTATGCACCACAAGTGGGATTGGATGAATCTATCACTCAACAATTTTGGGAGGATCTTGCGGAAGTGGTGCGCCGAGTGCCAAGGGGAGAAAAGTTGGTCATAGGAGGCGACCTCAACGGGCATGTGGGCCCAAGTCGTGATGGTTTTGAGAGTATCCATGGCGGACATGGTTTTGACACTAGAAATGAAGCGGGGAAGAACATTATAGATTTTGCCTTGACATATGAGTTGGCTGTAACGAACACTTGGTTCAAGAAAAGGGATTCTCACCTTGTGACGTATAGAAGTGGAGTTAATAGTACCCAAATTGAGTACTTTTTAGTACGGACGACTTGGAGAACTAGCTACACTGATCGTAAGGTCATCCATGGTGAGAGTGCTGTCACTCAGCATTGGATGCTTGTGCTTGTAAGAAGAGCAAGCGAGTTAGGGTACAAGGAAAGCCAAATATAAAGTGGTGGAGGCTCGAGGGGAATCTCCAACAAAGTTTTGCACACAAAATGTTGAAGGAAGATGTATGGTCTATTGATAATGACACACATGTGGACGACGTGTGTAAAGGATGTCTGTAAGACATACAAATCTGGCAAAGGATTGTTGTCTTGATTAATTTGGATTCTGAGAAATTCTCAGTAATCCAATAGAAACAGTACAGTGAACACAGAGAAATGCGAAATCTAGAGGAAGAAGAAAGACTTTCTCTCTCTAGCAGTCTAGCCTGAGCCCAACAACTCCCAACTGAATTCCAGCCTACTCTATTCTATCCTCCTTCCCCCTTTTATACTAATCCTTTCATAAAGAGCTGGCCCAAACTCAAGAACTAAAAAGGCCCAAAACCCTCACTTATAAACCAACACAATCTTTATTATTCTATTATTAGTCTTTATTATCCGGGTTCCTATCATTACTCCCCCTTAGATAACCACCTTGTCCTCAAGGTGGTGATAGGAAACAGCCCTGAACTTCCGCTTCATCCTCATCCTTGCACCTCTTCCTTCTCAGTACCTCCCTGATTGCTGCACCATGAGCTTCAGTAGTGTCACTGCTAGTCCCCTAGATTGAGAGCCCTGGTCCTCCAACAATATTGCATGTCTCTCAGCTTTTGACCTATCCCTTGAAGGATGCTCCTCCCTGAACAACTCATACAGAACTTCATCTGTACGCATATCAAAAGAAAGCTCAAGTGGATTTGAGTCTCTATGTTGGGTTACTCCACCTTCCGTCAGTCTTTCGAGCTGATTCCACCTGAGTGATCCTTCTACCAATTTGAACTCAGGATCCAAAACTTTTGCAGTTCCTTCTAGTAGAGCTCCTATCACCAAAGCATAGTCAGGATGAAGAGAACAGTTGAACTCGTACATAACCACATATAACTGATTCCTTATAAACTGGAAATCCTGAGATTGTCTTCTGCCACCACCAATTGATGTTAGCAGGGCGTTTGCAACTGATTTTAGGTTAGCTCCTTCAGGAATGAAACCGAGTGAGAGGAATTCTTTTGCCAAACTCCTTGAATTTGTAGCTTCATCATCTCCAGTAGCTACCCTTTCTAAATAAGCTTGAAGCATGAGAACTTTCAACTGCACATCTTTTGGCCACTTCAACTTCTGAAATAGACTATCTTCCTTCTTAGCTTTGAACAACTCCTCTGTTTCAAGGTGCTCACTCATTTTCACCTGTAGGACAGCCCCGTGCATCACATCATATAAATCTCGCATGGCCCTAGTGGCACCTTTTTCCTGCTTCTGTAAATCCTCTTCTTTTAATAGTAGGTGTTCGAGCGTTAACGGGTAGTTCAGGGGTTGCACACCTCAAACTCCATACTCAATAAGTGGATGGTGAGAACTCCACAGCTCTAGAAGTACAGTAAACGCCTTTGAAAATACAGAATGAGCTGTGTCTTTCTCTGAATGCACTGGCTGAGACCTGATCATACTGCCGGAGCTGTTATCCATTAAAATAATGTGTCCATCTCTGGTCCAGAGCAAAGTAAATCCTTCCCCACTTTCATATGAGATTCCACCTTCTGGGTTCACCGTGCTTTGATTAATACCCGAAGGTGCCTTAACAGAAAGAGAGCTGTCTGGAGATCTTGAGCTAGAGAGACCAGCACCACTTGGAAGAAGGGAAACTTCAGTTTTGGTTTCAATGATCAAGTGAAATCTTGTTTCCTCAGAGCCCGAGCTGCTGCCAATCATGTAATAGTGAAATGGGACATATTCGTTCCCAATAGCGACACTCAAAGAATTAGTGTAAGAGTCTTGAGCTGTTGTTGTTACACTAGTACTAATGCCTTCCATGCCCTTCACCTCAGATAATATATCACAGGCAGCAAAATGTTTATAGAATGTGTTAACTTCTACATGAAGATTGATGTGGATCAAACTGAGAGATGCTTTCTGTGAGGTACCGTTCAACATTTCAGAAGGTTGTAGAAGAAAGGAAGCACCTGGATGCTCCTGCTCATGAGTTGTCTGTGACATTGCCATTAAGTGATCTTGCATTAATGCTTTGGTCCGAGGCTGTGTTTACTGATATCCTGAAACACTTTTACTTCTCCATGGTGATCAAACTACTTCACTGCCATCCATGTGTATACCAGCTTCTTCAAGATTTACTCCCAAAAGAAGTGCCCTGTCCCCTAACTCTGCCAGAATCCCAGAATGCAATGGTTTCCACTGAACTCTAATCTCTTCCTTTAATCCATTCATGAATTTGCCTTTAAGCATCTCATAATCCTTCAATCTCATAGAGGCTACCACCAATGCATATCTCTCTTCCTCGGATTTCTTTCTGTTCAAGTATTTTTGAGAATTTGGAATTAGCATGGACACATTTTTCATTCCAGGCTTTTCAATAATCCATATACCAGTCTTAATAATGTTCTCAGGGACCAAGTGATAATCACACTTTGATATATGCAGAGTAATCTCCCTTCCTGGACAGATATGATTTCTGTTACTGGACATATCCTCCTCATACGATGTAGCCTGCGAACTGAGGGTGTCTCCTCTCTCTCGCGTCGTTCTAGGGCTCGCATAGGGATATCGCCGCCATTTGGAGTCTCCACTTGATTGCATCACACTCTGCGAACTGATAAGGATAGAATCTGCGAATGAGGAAACCTGTAAACAGACAGAATCTGCTCGCGATGAGGATGAAAAGACCCGCGAACAAGGAGAAACAGTTTGCGATGGTGAACTGAGAAGAGCCGTTCCCGACTGCGAACTGAAGGCTTCTGATTGCCGCAAAACTGACGAATTAGGAGAAGTTGCTCGCAAAAACCCCTGAGAACTGGAAGCTACTGTTAGCAAAGAAGCTGAAGTGGTTCGCGGTGACATATGCGAACTCATAGAATAGGCAAGAGACGAAGAGGACTGGTGAGAATTGAGCCGTGGCACCGTCTGGAAGTTCACGACCGTCCCTGGTTCTTCTGCGATTATGATTCATCGCCAGTTGGCGTAGTTTGGCCTTTATTCCGTCCATCCTTCAGCGCATGTTGCGCATCTCCTCCACTACCGATCGCAAAACAGTTGTGTTCCGCTCCATGTACTGCTCGATGTTATCCACTCGATTCTCCATTTGCGACCTGGTAAATCTCATTCACTGGCTATAGGACCGAATTGCTCTAATACCAATGTTAGACATTCAAATCTGACAAAGGATTGTTGTATTGATTAATTTGGATTCTGATAAATTCTCAGTAATCCGATAGAAACAGTACAGTGAACACAGAGAAATACAAAATCTAGAGGAAGAAGAAAGACTTTCTCTCTCTAGCCTGAGCCCAACAAATCCCAACCGAATTCCAGCCTACTTTATTCTATCCTCCTTCCCCCTTTTATACTAATCCTTTCGTAAAGAGCTAGCCCAAGCTCAAGAACTAAGAAGGCCTAAAACCCTCACTTATAAACTAACATAATTTTTATTATTCTATTATTTGTCTTTATTATCCAGGTTCCTATCAATGTCTGCCACAAAAAAAGACACCCTTGGTGGAATGGTGAGGTGAAACAAGCAATAGGGATCAAAAGAGAATGCTACAAAAAATTGGTAAAAAATTGGAGCAACGAGAACATAGAGGCGTACAAAGAGGCTAGAAGAAGAGCAAAGAAAGCTGTAAGGGAAGCAAGAGGGAAAGTGAACAAGGAGTTGTATTTAAAATTGGACTTTAAGGAAGGAGAAAAATATATTTACAGACTTGCTCGCCTTCATGACCGTATGATTTAAGATATCGAAAAAATTAAGTGTGTGAAGGATGTCGATCAAAGGGTACTAATGGCGGACGAGGAAATGAAAGAGAGGTGGAGGTCATACTTTGATACCTTGTTCAACGAGCATAAAATGCAAGGTATTGATGATCTTAATATACCAGAGTGTATGATAAATCGAGACTTCGTGAGAAGGATCCAAACAACAGAAGTTGAAAAGGCTTTGAGAAAGATGTGGCAGAAGAAAGCAATGGGCTTATATGGCATACCGATCGAGGCTTGGAGAAGTTTAGGAGAGAAAAACATCGAGTGGCTAAATCGTTTCTTCAACATGATTTGGGTAAACAACAAAATACCCGTGAGTTGGCGGAAGAGTGCGCCCATTCCCCTAGTTAAATATAAGGGTGATGTACAAGATTGTGCCAACTATCGATGGATTAAACTTATGAGTCACACCATGAAACTTTGGGAGCGAGTGGTTGAACAAAGATTTCAAAAAAGTGTGAAAATTTCAGAGTATCAGTTTGGTTTTATACCTGGACGCTAAACAACTGAGACCATTCACCTTTTTAGACAAGTTGTGAAGAAGTATAAAGACACTAAAAATGATTTGCATTTGGTGTTCATTGATTTAGAAAAGGCATATGATAGGGTACCTCGAGAAGTCATGTGGTGGGCCTTAACTAGAAAAGACTTATCACATGAGCAAGGTTTAAAAAGGCGGGTTTAGGTATTAAGGTGGTTTGTTCCTAACTAGAAAAAACATATTACATAACCTAGGATCATGTGGTATTTCTCACTTAATCACTCCCCCTGTACTCCGGAACACAATGGATTCGCTGAACGGAGACACTGAAACATTGTGGAAACTGAGATCACTCTACTCTACCACGCCTCTATGCCCCTTCAATATTAGTCACATGCTTTTCTTACTGCAGTGTATCTTATTAGTAGACAACCTGCAACCTCTCTTAACTTTTGCACTCCTTATGGAAAACTGTTTCAACGGCCCCCTATTCCACAAAACTTGCTATTTTCGGATGTTTTCCTTGGTTGCGTTCTTACACAACCCATATGTTGGAATCTCAGGCTAGGCCTTGTATTTTTCTTGGGTATTATGACCAACAGAGTGTTTATCTCGGTTTATCGCTGCCTTGATCTTACTACTAATTGTATCTTTGTTAGTAGGCATGTTGTGTTTAATGAGTCTTTCTTTCCATTCTCAACCACTACAAAACCAGTCACCAACTTACTCACTGAGATCGATAATTGGCTTAAGCCACCTATTTCTTTTTTTCGTATTTCAAGTAAGCAGGTAGCAGACACATCCCCTCTTTATCATACCCTCGTCTCAAAGTACAACTCCTGTAGTCCTGTGGATCCTTCTACTTCCAACCAACTCACCTCGCCTACACCTACCCCACCACACATAATCACTTACTAACGTCGCTCTAAATAGAAACATATTGAGCAACCCTCACATCGACCACCCACAAACTCCACCAATACTCCTACCAACATCATACCCTCAATTCCACCTACTACCCAACCCAATTCTTCACCTAAACGTACCCATTCAACGACCCTTTGACCTCACAAACAAGCCAACCTTGTTACTCAAAGCCATATACCCCATCATATTTTTCCCGCTAGTGCTTCTCAAGCTTTACAGGCACCAGTATGGTAGAATGCTATGATAGCAGAGTTTGATGCCTTGGTTAAACAAGGTACTTGGGATCTTGTTCCAGCTCCTTCTGGTCAAACTGTTGTCGGGTGTAAGTGGGTTTATATGGTGAAATATAACCCAGACGTTTTGTTGGATCGCTTTAAAGCTCAGTTGGTGGTTTAAGGCTTTCATCAACGACCAAGGATAGATTATTTTGACACATTTAATCCGGTAGTTAAGCTAGTTACTATTAGGGTAGTTCTGACTATTGCCCTTTCTCATGGTTGGAAAATCAATCACTTGGATGTCAATAATGCATTCCTACATGGGACACTTCAGGAGGAGGTATACATGTAGCAACCCCTTGGGGTTCAATGATGGCTCTGGGTTTGTGTGACGTCTTTAGAGGTCGATTTATGGTCTAAAACAGGCACCCCGTATGTGGTATCAGTCTCTCAATGGCTTTCTTTTCTTACTTGGTTTCTCTCGGTCTATTTCTGATGCTAGTCTATTTATCTTCTCTTCTCATGGAACTTATGTCTATGTGTTAGTTTATGTGGATGATATTATTGTCACTGGCTCTATACCTGCATCAGTGCATTAGTCTTTGATTTTTTGGCACATAAGTTTATTAAAGATTTATGATCCTTGCACTATTTTTTAGGCATGTAGGTTACACCCACACAAGATGGCCTTTTTCTTGACCAACATTAATAGAATAGATGCAATAATGAAGATGAAAGTAAACTTGTGTTATTGAGGATGAACTGTACATAGTATGTATACAAGTAAGAGCCTCAACAAGACTAAGAACAAACTCTACAGTAGTATGTATTTATACACTATTCCTAACATCCCCCCCCTCAAATTTAGGGTGATTGATTTGGAAAATTAATTACACTAAGTTTGCTCCTCATATCAAGGACTGTGGTGGCAGATAGGGGCTTGGTTAACACATCTGCCACTTGCCGAGGAGCAGGAATGTGGAAGACTTCAATCTGCTTCAGTTTAACCTTTTCTCGTACAAAGAACTGGATTGTGAGCAAGTGGAACTGTGCTAAGATTGTGATAGTAAACTTTGGGAGTAACAAATGGAGCTTGAAGTTCTTTAAGCATAAATTGATTCCATAGAATTTCTGATGTGGTGTCTGGCTGTCTGCAAGGCTTCTATATTCAGCTTCTGCTGAAGATCTGTCAACTCTCAATTGTTTTCTAGACCACCAAGAAATGATATTAGGACCTAGAAAGATACATGACCCGGATGTGGATTTCCTATCAATAGGGTCAGTGCCAGATAGATATCTTAGAATATGTTCCACAACTTCCCAATGTTCCTGTAAAGGCGCAGCCATAAACTGACACTTTGTTCACAACATAGCTAAGTTCATTTCTTTGTTAAGGTAGCATATTGCAGAACTCCAACAACAGACCTATAAGAGGAAGGATCGGGAAGATAATCACTGCCTTCACTGGTAAGTTTGCAGCTACTAACCATGGGTGTTTTAACTCCCTTGGAGTCTGTCATCCCAACTTTATGTAGAAGATCTCTAACATATTTGGCTTAAGAGAGGTGTAAGCAACCATTTGAAATGTTTAGCGTCCAGATCTCTAACATATTTGACTTAAGAGAGGCAAATAATGTTTATACCTGGACACTAAACAACTAGGCGAGCAACATTAGCAGAAAATAATGTTTGCTGTGAGGAGTCACGAAGTTTTCTCAGTCGCAATTCTTTGGCTAGTAGAAGTGATTCAAGTTCATAAATAGTAACTGGATCCAGGATGCTTCGCCCAGTGACGGATGATATAAGAGACTTATAATCTTCTGGAAGGCCTTCAAGGATCACATTGATTTGATCTTTGGCAGATATAGGTTCACCGATGGACATCAGATTATCAACAATGGTCTGAATGCGAAGAAGATAATTTGAAATAGAGCGATCACCTTTTCCGGTATTATACAGCTCGAATTTGAGTTGTTGAGCCTTGGCGACAATGTTTGACCGGAAGAATTTCTGAATTTCGCTCCAGAGCTGATGCGAATGTCTACAGTTGATGACACAATCATGAAGCGATTCTGAGAGATATGCAAGAAGCCATGAGAAAATCATTTGATCTTGTTGCTCCCAGATGATATAAGCTTCGTTCAGTGTTTTTGTCGCTCCATCATCGCTGGCAGTAAATCGTTCTGGTATTTCAGGATTTTTCGATGAACTTGAGAAGTTTGTGCGCTCGGATTACTAATTCAACTTGAAGATTCAAAGATGTAGAAATGATAGGAATCAGGCCCATTAGGCTAATAATAGAAATAAAAATAATAATAAGTATACATGTAGTATAAATAGAAGGGGAGGGGAGGAGAAAAGGTAGGTTGTTTTAGACTTTGGTCTGGGAACTGGGAAGATTAGAGACTTATCATCTCTATCTTTGGGACTTCATTGTGTATGGTTTCCACCATTAATGAAGTTGGATCTTGTTTCTGGAATTCTACTTTTTCTTTTCTGTAAATTTTATACACTTGCGAGTACCTATCAGTGGTATCAGAGAGCGTCGATCACTGTGGATGGTCTGTACGTGTGAGAAAATGGAAACGCGAATGAACGATGTAGAAAGAATGGTGAAGCGGTTGGATGAAAATTCCATGGCGATGCATACAGCAATGCAGACATCGTTTGCGAACATATAGAACAAGCTCCAAAGTCGTTCGAGGAGTCGTTCGCACCATTCGAACACTTCGCATCGAACATCTCATCACAGACGGAAGAAGGAATATTCTGAAGCTGGAGCAATTACTCATTCTCTCACTTGTAACTACCCCTCCAGCTTGAATAACAGCAGCAAGGATTGGAGTTCTTTTAAAGAAGGCAAACTTCCTTCTTCGGACAGGCAAGGATGGAACCAAGGAATTATGACTGTTGTACTTGGTAATGCAGGAGCTGATTTTGTATTCTCGCTCACAAAGTGTTACTTGGTTACTGTGCTGCTTCATACCAACAAAGATTATGCCATTTTAAAGATAGCCTGGGTTCCTCCACTCCATGTTTCAAGACACCAGGTGAAAAGGGACTCTACTTTTGAGAAATGTGCAGTGGCAGAGAGGTATTTGTGGAGAATTGCTATGGGAGTTGTTGGGAGGAATGATGTTGGGTGTACTCGAAGTGCGGCAGAGGGTGGCATTGTTTTACTGAGAAGCATCAGGACAGTCAATCATCACTCAAAGGGAGAAAAGTCAAATGGAGTTGAAGAAATTTGTAGTTCAAAAGTTTCTGATGAGCAGATTAAAAGGGATGAGAATCCTGATGTTCAGGACATGAACACAAATTCTGCTACTGTTGTAAGGGATATACCTCAGGAAAGCCTGAAGATATTTGTGGCTATTGAAGGCCTGAAGACTAAGGAAGAAAATGAAACTTCACCAGAAATATTCTATGCTGCAGAAACATCTGTGAATTGTAAAGATCAAGTACTGAAGCTCCTTGCTCAGAAACCAGTGAGATATTAGGAAGGTAGAAGCGCAAGGATGAGAGGAAGCAGAAGATCTTATCACCCACCTTGAGGGCAAGGTGGATGTTTAGGGGGGAGTTTTGATAGGAATCAGGCCCATTAGGCTAATAATAGAAATAATAATAATAATAAGTATACATGTAGTGTAAATAGAAGGGGAGGGGAGGATAAAAGGTAGGCTGTTTTAGACTTTGGTCTGGGAACCGGGAAGATTAGAGACTTATCATCTCTATCTTTGGGACTTCATTGTGTATGGTTTCCACCATTAATGAAGTTGGATCTTGTTTCTTGAATTCTACTCTTTCTTTTCTGTAAATTCTTCACACCTGCGAGTACCTATCAAGAAACTGAGTGAATCGAGCTGGATCGGAAGAGGATGAGTGAAGATTACTGGAGAAACTGAGTTCCCTATTGGTTGCAAAGATGTAGATTCAGAGGTTGAGATCGTCATGGTTGGAACGAGTTAAGTTCTGATACCATAATACAATAGATGCGGTCATAGTTGTCATGGCGCATGGCGCAACCCATGGTGCACAGGCCATTTTCCATGGCGATGGCGATGGCGCAAATATGGCGTCACCACGTGACAAAAAAACCTTCAAAACGAATAATAGATACTGCAATTCATCAACCCAAGTTTACCCAACCACCAAAACATGATAAAATAGTTCAAAGTACTTCCAAAAAACATAATATTCAAAAAAAGAGTTTCTGTCTTGCAAAATATGTTAGGATTTAGGCTTGTTAGCTTGTTTTTGTTTGATGATTATGGCATAATCATCATCAATCATCAGACTCCTCATCATCTTGGTCTGAATCTGATAGCAATGGCACACCATCCTCATTCATTTCATCCTCGGAGGGATCTGCAACCTCGTCCGTTTCCTCCATTTCCTCCGCCTCCTCTGTCTCCTCTGTCTCCTCTTCCAACAGTATGAGTATTTAAAATCTCAACTCTCAACTATTATAAATTGATAGACAATTACACATAAAGCAAACTATTAAAGCATCTTACAGTGTAAAGTTTAGTTTAAACTCAAAATATAAAGTTTAAACTTTAATTAACTTTGTGTTATACATTCATAAACACTTTATCTTTAAGTTTAAACTTTACATAAATTATATACCATAGAAAGTCTCTGTTTTAGTTAAACCATGCACATGTAAGTTTAGACCATTCACAGTAAAGTTTAGTACACAGCATTAACTGAACTTTTCTTCATTAATACACAGCATTAAAGAGGTAGTAGTACCTTTTGTAGTTGGAAGAAGTCAACGAGAATCCCCTTGTCGTTTGCCTTGCTGTCGGTTGTCGCAGAGCTTTTCTTGCGTTGCAGCAGCTTTAACTTCTCACGTGTTATCACTTTGTTGTGTTTATTTATTTGTAGTTAGGGTTGTTGTTAGTATTATGGGCTAAAATAGTAAGTTTTGTTAGAGTTTTATTGCTTTTATGGGTCGCAGATTGTTATGGCCCAAAAGTCCACAACTTACAGCTCAAAAACGCGGACCCATTTTGTCAAAAAAACATTCGTATCGCCATGGCGAAGGCGCAGGAATGGCGAAGGCGCAGGAATGGCGACGCCATGTGTATACACCTTGCCACAGCCCCTTTTCATAGCACAGAGGGTTTTTCGCGCCACATGGCACATGGCCCGCGCGCCATATTGCGCCATCGACTACCATGGATGCGGTAATGAAGATGAACGTAAACTTGTGTTATTGAGAATGAACTGTACAAAGTATTATACAAGTATGAGCCTCAACAGACTAAGAACAAACTTCACAGAAAGATAACAGACTACTAACCGTTAAGCTATTGCAATAGTATGCGTGTATATATTGATACACTATTCCTAACAAACATAAATATGTTACAAATTTGTTGCAAATTTTGAAAATGAATGAGGCTAATCCTGTAGTCACGCCCTTGTCTTCGTCGGCTCTGACTCTATTTGATAGTTCGGGCTCTTGTGACATCACCCACCATCGGCAGGTGGTTGGATCACTTCAGTACTTGTGTCTCACCCAACCGGATGTTGCCTTTGTTGTCAATAAACATGCTCAATTCATGCATAAGCTCACAATTTATCACGGACAACTAGTGAAGCGTCTCTTGCGTCATCTCCAAGGCACCACTTCTCATGACCTCTTTCTCTGTCGCGACTCATCACCTTCTCTATGAGCTTATGCTGACTGGGCAGGGATCTGGATGATCGTTCTTCTACCAATGCATATGCCATCTTTCTCGGTAAATCACTCATTTCTTGGAAATCTACCAATCAGCGCACTATTGTCAAGTCCTCAATGAAAGCCGAATATCGTGCTCTGTCCACTGTGGCATCTGAAATTCTTTGGATATAATCACTTCTTCACGAGCTACGACATCCGTTACCTACCCCGCCAACTCTTCTATGTGAGAACAAGGGTGCTTTTACATTTTCCACCAATCTGTCAAACTCGCAATTGACGGGAGGGGAAAACTGGGATACCTAACGGGAGAAATCAAAGAAACTCAGTGGTGAGGATGGCTGCATTTCATGGAGGTCAGAAAAGTCTTTGGTGACAGCCTGGCTTCTCAGCTCCATGGAGGCATCAATCGCTAAACCCCACATGTTTAAGAAGACAACAAAACAGGTGTGGGATTCCATCAGAAAAACATATTCAGATCTTGAAAACTCTTCTCAGATTTTTAAATTGAACACAATTCTCTGGCAGTCCAAACAAGGAGATAGAGATATCACCACTTATTATAATGAGATGGTGTCTCTCTTGGCCAAGCACAATAAGAGAGCAAAGGATGACAGTCTACATGTTTCTTGTAGGAGTTAATCAAGGACTGGATGAAGTGAATGGAAGAATTCTGGGAAAGAAACCTCTACCCTCAATGAGAGAGGTATTCTCTGAAATCAGACTGGAAGAAAGTAGGAGAAAAATTATGTACAACAAATCATTGTAAGAAACTATGGCACATAAGGGAAACCTGCTGAAAAATTCAAGGCAAACCACGAGCAGAAAAGAATAAGTTTGAAAAGGCTCTTTATACTACTGTACTGAAACTCAACAAAAGCAGCAAGTCAATTCCAAAAAGCCCTCCTTCGCGAAGGAGCAACAAATCCTTCACCTTGTAACTACTCAAAAAAATTCCAATCCAGAAACTTCTTGTTCTTATGTCCGAAATGGTACCACTGCATCATTTTTTTGTTCTGGAAAATAAAAAAATATCCGGGTCATTGACTCAGGTGCTACAGACCACATGACCTCTGTTTCAAATCTCTTTTTTTCATATAAACCCTGTACAGGGGACAAAAAAGTAAAAGTTACAGATGACTCTATCAGCCATTACAAGGATAGGAAATGTTAAATTTTCCTCATCTATCAATCTGTCTAAAGTCCTACATGTCAGTTAACCAAAGAGCTTCCATGTTGTGTTACTTTTTACCCATCTTATTGCATTTTTCAGGATTTGACATCAGGGAAGATGATTGGCAGTGCTAGGGAGGAAGATGGACTCTATATCTTTGATGAAGGAGCTCAATCAAATAAAAGAGGTCAAAGAACTGCTTGTTTGCAAATTGTTTCCTTTTTCAACAATAAACAATTGTATTTGCTCCACTATAGACTAGGACATCTTAGTTTTTATTATTTAAAAAAACTGTTTCCTCAGTTATTTAATAATAAAGATCCTTCTTTGTTTCATTGTGATATGTGTGCACTTGCAAAACATCATAAAAATTCATACATCCTTCAGAGTTACAAACCTACTAGTCCTTTTACTCTTGTGCATAGTGATATTTGGGGTGCATCTAGAGTGCCTACTATAAAAAAAGAGATGGTTTGTAACAATCATGGATGATCATACACGGGTCACCTGAGTATTTTTTATCAAAGAAAAATCAGAAGTAGAAAATGTGTTTAGGAATTTTTATGCAAGGATCCAAACTCAATTCAAAACCAACATTAAAATGGTGACAAGTGATAATGGCCGTGAATATTTTTCTCAAAACCTAAACTTTATTTTTGAAAAAGGAATGATTCATCAAAGTTCTTGTGTAAACACACCTGCTCAGAATGGGATTGCTGAGAGGAAAAATAGGCATTTACTTGAAGTGACTCGTGCAATCATGTTTTCAACAAAAGTTCCTAAATATCTATGGGGAGAGGCTGTGTTACATGCTACTTATTTAATTAATCGCATGCCATCAAAGATTTTAGGATTTAAAACTCGTATTAACACACTTCAAAACAGTTTTCCAACAAAAAGGTTGATTAGCTCTCTTCCTTTGAAAGTTTTTGGTTGCACAATATGCGTTAAAAATCCAGATAAAACAGCAAGTAAATTTGACTCTAGAGGAACAAAATGTTTTGATCCTACAACAGAAATGATTTTTGTAACAATGGACACTTTTTTGGTGAAGATCAACCTTTTTTGACTCTCATCTTCGAGGGGAGAATCTAAGTGAAGATGTTCAAAAAGTGCCATATATCCATGAAATTCTTGATTTTCTTGACATAATCTTGATGTGCATCCAAGTAGAAACTTAGGAACATCAGAAAATATTTAAGAATTAATAATTAATGAAATAAATGCAATTGAAACAATTGAAAACGAAGAACAACGGATAAGTAAGTTCTTTGGCAAAGTTTGTGAGAGAAGAGTTCCAAATCAAAGAACAGAGGAAGTTTCTGACCTTGCATCTGTCCATGAATCTGACTCAATGAGGTAATATTTCCAATGTTCTTAATTTACCAATTGCTCTCAGAAAAGAAAGGACATGTGCCAAACATCCTATTTCAAATTATGTTTCTTATTCTAAATTGTCCTCAACTTTTGCAACTTGTACTTCTAGTATCTCTTCTATTTCTATTCCCTCGACCATACAGGAAGCACTATCTGAACCTGAGTGGAAGAAAGCTGTTTTGGAAGAAATGGATGCTCTTGAAAAGAATCAGATATGGAAGATTGTCGTGCTGTGTCAAAGCAAGCCAACCGTTGGATGTAGATGGATCTTCACTCCTAAATTCAAGGCAGATGAAACTTTTGAGGGATATAAGGCAAGATTAGTTGCCAAAGGTTACACACAAACCTATGGCATAGACTATACAGAAACCTTTGCATCAATTGCAAAGTTGAACACTGTAAAGATTCTTTTATCTCTTGCTGTTAATCTAGACTGGCCACATCACCAGGTAGATGTGAAGAATGCATTTTCTAATGGAAAACTTGAAAATGACGTGTACATGAATCCTCCTCTTGGATTAGAGAACAAGTTTGTCTCAAAGGTATGTAAGCTGGAGAGAGCCTTATATGGGCTAAAATAATCTCCTAGAGCTTGGTTTGACAGGTTTACTCAGTTTGTAAAAAGACAGGATTCAAGCAGGCTCAAGCTAATTGTCTATGTAGATGATATTATCCTTACAGAAGATTATCTTAAAGAGACTGAAAACCTAAAAAGGAAGCTTGTTGATGAGTTTGAGGTCAAGGACCGGGGAGAATTGAAGTACTTTCTTGGAATGGAGATAGCTAGATCAAAGAAAGGAATTGTTGTCTCACAAAGGAAGTATGTTCAGGATCTTTTTCAAGAAATAGGAATGAGTGCATGTAGACCTGCAGATACTCCAATTGACCCCATAAAAAATTGGGAGATGTCAAAGATTTGAGTTCTAGTCAATATTCAGCAATATCAAAGGTTGGTGGGAAGATTGATCTATTTGGCATATACCAAGCCAGATATTGCATTTGAAGTGAGTATGGTTAGTGAGTTATGAATCATCCATTTCAGGAACATCTTGATGCTACTTACAGGATTCTCAGATATTTAAAAAGCCGTCCAGGAAAGGGGTTATTTTTCAAAAAAAGTAACAATAGGATTGTTGAGGCCTTTGCAGATGCAGACGATGCTGGCTCAATTACTGATAGAAGGTCTACTTTTGGATATTGTACTTGTGTATGGACAAAATCTTGTAACTCGGAGAAGTAAGAAACAGAATGTGGTTGTTAGAATTAGTGTAGAATAAGAATTCGGATCTATGGCTAATGGAATCCGTCAACTTCTTTGAATCAAGAGAGTAATTTCAGAACTGAAAATGAAGATGGATCTGCCTTGAAGTTGTATTGTGATAACAAGACAACTATTACCATTGCTCATAATCCTGTACTACATGATCATACTAAACATATTGAAGTGGACAGACACTTTATTAAAGAAAAGATTGAAACTGGAGTTGTGTGCACACCATTCATATCTACCAAAGATACCAAAGATCAAACAACTGATATCTTCACCGAGGGATTGTTTAAACCAGTGTTTGAACTACTTATAAGAAAGTTAGGGATGTTAGATATATGATATATACTCACCAACTTGAGTGGGAGTGTAGAAAATGTTACATTAATTATTATTATTATTAGATGTAGCAGTACATATGTAGCCGTGTAGATAAGTCTTAAAGCTGTTAGCTTTCATTTATTATTAGATAAGCTTTGTAGTTAGCTAGATCCTATTTTATAGGATCTCCACAGGGAGGTTGTTACTCTTAAATCCTATATATATTCTGGCCGGATGGCTCAATAAACACAAGGAAAATTTATCCCTAAAGGAGTAGAAGCAGTTTTCAGAAGTAGTTCCCAACACCCCCTTAATGCATTTAGTTCAATATGATATTGAATATATCATAATTGGTAATTCTAGAATAGTATACATAATATTTTCTAAGCAGTGCTCTTGACATGAGTCAGCTGGGAACTTCTTTGCCGTTAGGCAATATGAGTACTCTACCGCCTTGAATGCGCCTTGCAACTTTGACTACCTTGGTCTAAACTAGGTCGGACAGCGACTAATTCCTTAATAAGCTTAATTCAAAACTCTATCTCTCCTAACTAACAGTTCTAAAATGCGATTAATTCTACCTCTATTTTGTTCCTTCTGACTAGATCTAGGTTGACAGGTTGTTAACGTTCACGAAAATTTTGTATCAATCTTGTCATGTTTCTGCCTTGTGCAGAATCATTCTTGCTTGTTCATAATCCGTAGAGGAAAGGGAAGGTGCTGCTGATGTACTATCCTAATTAATAATTGAGTCTTCATGAGCATATGATAAATCTCATATTTCAAATTTATTATCCTAACCAATAATATGGTTTTTCTAATGTGTGCCCATGGGCACATTATAAAGTTCAATTAATGATTTTCTAATCATCCCATTATGAGTATTTAGTAATCAGCAGTCACGAGTTTCATAATATTTTTTGATAATTGTGAAAGTGTACATTTTTAATTGCATATATTTTTTCTTTAGTACATCAAAGGAATAATTGCCCCAAATATGACTTATATATAACTACTTTTCCTATGTGAGAATAACCATTTTTATTCCTACAATTAATATATATTTGGTCCTAGATAAAGAATACTAATACGTTTTTATTCCTAAAGTAATATCTACTTGGTCATACGATTAGTAGTATTCAGATTCGGGGAGACCTATTATGTGTTAGTTCTGAACTGGGAAAATTTTCTGGATCACATTCTTATTTGAAACTTGAAAATGAATCACATATATTGACTATTATTTTGTACCCATGGGCAAAAAATAGTTAACCCATATGAATAAGGTAAATCATGTCAATTTTTTTGTAAAGTGTAGGTATTGTATTACCCTGAAGGCCTCAACTACTCACATATAGATATTCTGTTTTTTTGTTAATCACTAACATATTCACTCTGATTGTCTGCCATTTGATTTATTGAATAGGATCATTGTGGAGTTGGATGTTCTTGCATAAATATTGGAACAACTCCTCGCATAAATAAATGTCAAGTATGTATTACTTCGTACATGAGCTGATGCTTGTGCAGTTTCATCTTTCTTATGCTTTTTTTTTTGTTTTTTTGTTAGTATGCGCTTGTTTTTTTGCTTTAAAGTTTTAATGAACTATCAAAATCAATCATTTGTTGCTAGGTACTCGATGCATTGGTCAGTCTTTTCTGCAGGTCAAACATATCTGCAGAAACACTATGGCTTGGTGGTTGGCTTTTGCGCCAACTCCTTCCTCAAAGTGATGCCCATTTTAATAGTAATCATCGTAAATTGCTTGACGTAAGTTGTGCTTTCAAAGAGGATTCAAAGCTGTTTCTTACTTGGATTAAGGCTTGTCTAGCGTAGGTGAATCTAATATCTCCTGGCATGGTCAGACATAAAATTGAGTCAAGTGCATTATTTTAATGGAGAATATAATCATATTTTGTCCAAGGGGGTATATATGTTCCAACGCTACAATGTTTGTGTTTAATTGTTCCAAAAAACCCGAAGGGGTATATATATGTTCTGCACAAGGTAGTCAAAGTCGCAAGGCGCACTTAAGGCGCTAGATACTTGTATCGCCTGAGGCGCAAGGTGCAAAAGAGCACTCTCCTGACCATGCTTGTCACGGCATCGCCTAGGCGCCGACTAGGCGTCCAGGTGCTGGAGAGTGCTTGCCAGGTAAGCTCGCCTCGCTAGGTAAGCTTGCCTCGCCAGAAGAAGAATAGTCGAGGTTGGAGTCGTCCAGGCGTGAAGTTGGCGACAAGTCGCCGCCTACTTTTGCCCAATCGAAAAGCCGTCCGCGTTCCGCAGACCCAAAAACGAGTAAATTAAGGTTTAATTTTTTAGTAAACTCATTTACTTAAGGATTTTGGCTTTTAATTAAAAACAAAGCCCAAATCTAACTCAAGAAGCAGAGTCGTAGAGAACAACTCACAGGACCAGAAGAACCGTAGAACTTCAGGAAGTAGAAGAAGTCGCCGGTCTCTCCAGTCGCCATCCCCGATCCGTCGTTGAAGGCTTGAAGCAGACGACCAGAAATAGGTCCACCGATCTCTTATTGGCTTCTTGTGTAGTGGTGTAGTGGATTTAGTTTTTTAATATTTTACTTAATTAAGTGGTATACATATAAATATATGTGTGTATCAATATATGCATATATATATACTATAATACTTCTATAATGCGTATTGTATAAAACGGTGAACATGGTGATATAGACTGTTAAACCATTAATTTATTATACTGGTGATATACTGATGTGCTCGTATTAGACTATTAGTTTAATAATAAACTATAAAACCATTAATTTATTATTTATTATGTGCTATATAATAAAGTGCTGAACTGGTGAATGGTGATATATACTGATATGCTCATATTAGTTTTATAATAAACTATTAAACCATTAATTATATATTAATTTAGTATATAATAATTATATAATTTATTATATACATAGTATATAATTATATATATAATATATATTATATTATACATATATAGGCGACTAGTCGCCTAATTGTCGCCTAGGCGGGCGCCTTATCGCCTAGGCGATATGGCAGTTGGCTAGCGCCGTGACTCGACTTACCGCCGTGACAAGTATGCTCCTGACTCGGGTCAAGCGCACTATTTAGAAGATATTATGTATACTGTTCTAGAGTGATCACATATGACATATTCAACATCATATTGAACTAAATGCATCAAAAAGTCGTGTTTCTAAAAAATAAAGTCATTGTTCACAAAAAAACAAGTGGGGTCTGTCTTTGTTGATTTTGCAATTTTAGCACTATGAATATCATAAATTATATAGTGTATGAAACAATTAACTGAGTTAGATTATATGAAGTTTCTATACAGTTAGAGTATGAAATGATAATAGGAAGATATGAAGTTATACTGTATAATAAGATAAAATAATATAGAGTACATGTAATGTAAACTGGTAGTCAGGTACATATAATATGTTTGAGTTGTATAGAATATATTAGAAGCAAAAAGAACTATAAGGTAAAGAAAGAAGATGGACTGAAAGAATAAAATGAAAGGATCACCAAGAAGATGACATAATAAATGAAAACTACAAGCTGAAAAAGAAAGAAAAAAAGAACATGGGAAAATGATGAAGAAGAAGACACCCTATGGGTTTCTGGCTTCTGTGGGGCTCAGTGCTGAGCATGTTGCGCAAGTAGAGCACATAGCAGCATAGGAGAGTCACGATGAAGTCAAGACTCAAGATAGAAGACTTTTCCCACGACTAAGAAGGGTTTAATACGGGTTTAAGTTGTTTTTACCTATTATTTGGACTGCGCTAAATTATATTATCAGTATGGGCTTATTATATAAAGTAAGATCAAACAAAAAAATAGACATTTTCCATCATTTGCAATGGAGCCAAAGATTCATTATTTTTTGGCTTGAGATTATGATGGAATAAAGCAAAATGGCTCACTAAACTGTCTGCGCTTCTTTGTTATGGAGCAGCAGTCAGTCCATGCAATCTTGGACGCGCTTTTCACTATGGGTCATCCGGAAACAGTCTCTCTGTGCTTTAGTACAGGGGTAAGACTGCGTACATCCGACCCCCCCTTACCCCACCGTAGGTGGGAGCCTTTGCGGCACTGGGGTAAATGAAAATGAAAAAAAAATGAAACAAAAAAATAGACAGGGAGCTGCGCCTGGCCATTCTTCAGTCGCTAAACCTCATTTGCGCTGCGCCTGGTGCGCTTAAGTGCTCAGGTGCTCGCTTTTGACTACCTTGGTTCTGCAACATACAGTTCACGGGTACATATGTTTCTTCTTCCTTATGTAAATTATGTTACCCATGTTAAAGAAGTTCAGGGACTAGGGAGTTGTTATGGTCAACGGATTGTAGAGGAGCCGTAGAGATTAGCTTTCAGTTCAAATTCATATTTGAATTTCTGTGGGCTATGAACTATATGTTTATATGCGCTTGACTGCTTGCTGTACATCATTATGCAATATAGTCAAATACAATTTTTTCCCATTCTATAGCATCTCCGGACCATGGTTTCTGACTTAAATTGCTTTATTTTTAGTTTTATCAAAAAACTAATCGAAGAAATTTTGAATGTGCTATATTTTTTTTTGTATGTGCTATATTTTGAATGTGCTATATTTTTTGAATGTACTATATATCCTACTGAAGTTTGAGTTTGCATTGTTATTGATGCTTCATCTTCTTTATTGTAATTTAATACATTATGATAGATGGTTTTTTGTTTGGCTTGCTCTTTGTTGCGAAATGTGTAAAGCTTTTTGAATACTGGGAGGTATCTTTTGGTTCCCTCTTGCAAAAGAATTACTAAACCGTGATTTTTTCCACCGAATCAATTGGGAAATGTTATTTCTGAAGGGCTCATACTGTAGCTGCACCCAACGTATTCTTGAAGAAACAAGAGGATCTTGGCCTGATCTATTGATTTCGGTTATCAGTAATGAGTGGAGAAACTGCAAAAGAGGTACTGTTTTGGACCATATCTTTTTATGTATCTAAAGCTATGTCTGGCTTTAAAAGCAGAATAGTGTGTGCAGCAATTGAAGCTTCATCACCTCAGAAAGATCCTAAATCCATGCTTTTCCTGCCAAAGAAATCTGCTTCTGAAGGTATACCAGAATTTGAATTGCATCAAAAAGGAATTTTGCATGCACAATGTATGAATGCAAACAAAATTGGAAACAATTTGTTGAATTGTTTTGTGTGACAGATCTGTTTTCAAGTGATTCATCTATTGCTGCTGGTGAAAGAATGTGTGAGACAGTGAAGGTGGTTGTGCTTAGTAATTGTTTTCTTGAGCCAGTTTTTACTGCCCAAATTTCGTTACACTAAACTCTGAGAAAGGAATTTTGCAATGGAGCATCCTAAGAGAAAATCAAATGATCTTAGGTTTATTGAGAAAGGATAGTCAACCTGATGATACTATGTGTATGGATGCAATATAGACATAATCTATTGTTTCTTCAATGGTAATCTTCTTTCATTACTGTACAGGTTTTTGTACTTGTTCATCAACTCCGTTCATTCTCAATTGGTAAGGTTTTGCCTGATCAGCCTTTGATAGAGCCTCCAACTAATGTTCTGGGAAGCTCCCGTGCAAAAACTGCTGGAGTGAATAGTTTGGGTGCAAAACCAAACAGTGAACTAAATCTTGGTTTGTTTTTTTATTTTCAAGTTTTAGCTTGTAATTACCAGTGTTTGTTGTATCTTATAAATCCTTTGAGTTAATGCGTTAATTCATGGTGCCTCAATTATGGTTGACTTGCCTGTTTTGGCCATCTACTCTCAGTTCAACCACTTTCAGGCCCATTGACTTTTGAAACATCCCAGTTCGTAATTATCAGGGTTTGCTAATGGTGCCTCAATTATGGTTGACTTGCCTCTTTTGGCCATATACTCTCAGCTCAACCACTTTCAGGCCCATTGACTTCACACGATAAAGTTTATCCCTTGTTGCTGTGAAGGGTATTTGGACAAAAAAATAATACACTTCGAAAGTCAAGGAGTGCTGAAAGAGGCAACACTATCATATTAAGGCACCAAAAGTGGAATATGACCCTTTCATATTCTTACTATTATCAAACTTGTATTCTTTGGTAGATTATTGCATCCCCCTTTACTCAGAAGTCTTACTATTTAAGTTCATATGTTTAATGCCTTTACCCTCACCCCCAGTTTGTTACTTATTAGAAGTTTCTCAATATTAAACTTGTATCCTAACAATTGGTTTTTGAATTCTGGCACTTTGCTTTGCTTTTTCTTTTTCAGCAGGTTCAGTGCCTTGTAGAATTGCATTTGAGAGGGGCAAAGAGCGTCATTTTTTCTTTTTAGCGATCAATGCAGGAATATCTGGTTGGCTCATCCTTGCAGAAGAGTTACAGCAGAGACCTCATTTTGGTCTGGTGCGAGTTGTAGCCCCTTTGGCCGGTTGCAATGTGAGCATTTCAAAATTCACATTCAGTTTGCATTTGGCAAAATTTGGAGAGTTTATGGCACCTCTATTTTCTTCTCCCATCCCCCTAACTCCTCCAACCAAACAGACATAACTCCACTTTCCTCCCACCCCCACCAACCAACCAAGGCCTATAATAAGTATTAGTAGCTCAAGCTTTGCCGTAGTTGCTATAATATTGTAAAATTGCATATGCAGTACACTTTTACGTGCAAAATCTCGACGTGATTTTCATTACGAGTCATTCGGAAACAGTCTCCCTGTGCTTTAGTATAGGGATAAAGCTACGTATATCTGACCCCCTTACCCCACCATAGGTTCTAAGATTTTTTTGGTGTCCCAGAACAGGATCTTATTTCATAAAACAAGGCTCATTTTCCATAAAAAAGAAACAAACAAGTTCAGTTTGATTTGTTTAGTTAATAAAATAAATTCAAAATATTTAGTAGGATATTATGAATTTTAAGAGTTGTACCTTGTCAAAATCTAACAGTTGTACCTTGATCAAACACAGATCTTGTAATCTTTTATTTAATCAATGTCATATATAGTGGAAAATAGTGCAAAGACAGGTATTAAGTTTTTTTTCATTTGATTTTGGTTCAGCCCACAAGGGATGACAAGCATCCAAAATGGTTGCACCTTCGTATACGTCCATCTTCATTTCCTTGTATGGATGGCGGCAGGCACTCTCTTCCCTCAAAACTTTGTACGGGAAAACCCGTAGTGGACGGAAGGTGGACGCTGGCATTTCGTGATGAGGAATCTTGCAAATCTGCGTGGTCTATGATACTTGAAGAGATTAATTTCCAAACAATTGAAGTGGAAAGAAGGATAAAGCCCTTGCTTGTTGATGTAGAATGTTAGTCATTTCAGAGGCTTGACGTCTCATAAAAAATTTCAAGATTCTTTCATGCATGTATGACATTCCTTGTATACTCCAATAATTTTATTTACACATGCTCTGGAGGTTGGTAGAATCCTACATCCCTTCTATGCTGCCTTTGTAAATAAAGGTAAAGGAACAATAGTGATGTACTATTGTAGATAATGTTAGTGTGGAAGACCAGTTCAATGTAAATTATGCTCCCTCTGTATATGCTTAAACAAAGTTTTTTTGGCATTTGGTCAGTCATTTTTTTGTGTGAATGAAATGTAGTTGGTTAGTTCGAGAAGAAAACCTGACCATGAGAATTGTCTCGCAAGGGTTGTCAAAAAGAAGTTTTAAATATGAACAGAAAAGATGGGGAAGGAATGAGCTTATCAGTGTTTTTTTATTTCTAAACGTACGTTTATGTAAAAGTTTCTTACAGTGGAACACGATTACACGACTAAGGACTCTGCCGACCTAGGAAGTGCAAAGCCTGCCAATAGTATAAAGGACACCAAGATGGCCAGACATCAACTATATGCTCGTCAGCATGACAATCATGTTCTCACGTTGGGTGCTTGAACTAGTAAGCCAGTTACCTAGGGACGCATGTAGCTGCCGATGTGGCCATCAACTACTTTACTAAGTGGATCGAGGTTGAGCGCTTGGCCATCAATACTGAGGCTAGTTGCAGGAAGTTCGTTGTCAAGAACATCCTAATAGAGTAATTAATATTCATTAATTAGGTTTTCATATTTCTTATGTTTCCTAATGTAATCAGAATTCTATTTAATATATATGACATCTAGGGCTCCCAATTGGGTAAGCTATTCCATTATTCTCACATGGTATTAAGAGCTCTAGGTTTTAGCCATTTTTTTTTCCGGTTCTATGGCATCCGAAGGCTCCTCCGCCGCCGCATCCCAGGCAGTCACCGCAGCCATTGAACTGGCCGTGATTGCGCCTATGCTGAGCGTGACCGACACATCGCACCTCTCCGGCACTTCGTAGACAACGGCTCTCTCCTCCACAGGTGACCCGCTCCGATCGCAGCCCTATTCGGTGTTTCCTTCTACGGTTCTGGCAGCGCCGTGGGTCCCCCTGTCTTTACCTGGACTCCGTCAACGTTGACCTTCAGTCCGTTGATCCAACCACAACGATCGCAGCAACCGGACGTCCCTAATGAAGCCTCCAGCAATTCTGGCGGTCCTCGGTTCGCAAGGCCCACCTTGTCGAGCAGTCCAGGTTTGCATATGCCTTCGACTGGAATTATTGGCCAACAGTCCACTCCTATGCCATCGTCTTTTGCCTCGCTTGCTTAAGGCATGACTTTTGGGGCCCCGGTTACACAAATTGTTACCTCTAAATTGGTGGCTGTTGAAGATTATTTGCCATGACGCACTCAGTTTGAATCCTTTGTGGTAGCTAACGGCCTTTTGGGCTTCCTTGATGGATCTCTACCAGCTCCGCCAATGTATACCTATGATTTATATCAGGCTCAGTCCCCGAATCCTGAGTATTATCATTGGCTCAAATTAGATCAGGCGGTACGTGCGTGGATATTTGCAACTCTCTCTCGCGATATTTTGATGGAAGTTCATTCCTTGAAAAATTCTTTGGCAATTTGGCAGCGTTTGGAGTCTCAATTTATGGCTGCCAGTCTTGCACGCTCCATGGAATTAAAACAAATGCTTACACGCATTAAGAATAGAGAAAATCAGTCCATGCAGGACTATGTTCGTTGGATTCAAAATATTGCTGTGAATTTAGCCGCCATTAACTCTCCGGTCTCCAATGCCGATCTTATTGAATATACACTTTTAGGATTGGGACAGGGTTATGAGTCACTAGTGGGACCCCATACTTTGTTTCCTGAAGTCCTCACGTTTGACTCCTTAGGCACAAAATTGGTTCATCAAGATGCCCGTCTCCGCTATCAACAATCCTTGGAGAATCTCGTTACTGCACCGGCGTTTGCTGCGTCTAATTCAGCAGGGGGGTGCGGCTCCTTCTCCGTCGTCTGGCAACCAGCAGCAACACCCAGGTCGTGGAGGGCGTGGTGGACGACGTGGCGGATGGCGTGGCGGTCGCGGGCGAGGGCGCGACAGAGGCTGAAATCTGCAGCGGCAGATGTATGGCCAGCCTCCCTTTTACGGCAACCAGGGCCAGCCGCAATTCAAGCAACCACACTCCGGCCGGGGATCAAATCAGCCTCATCAGTGGGGCCGGGTACAATTATCTGTAATTCAGTTCAGTCATCATTTTATACTCTGGGTCCCTATACTTTTTGTACTAACTATGCTTCTGCAGGATCTCCGTCTTTTGAGAATAGTTTTGGTTCAGTTCCTCCACCTGTTGTGTGTCAGATCTGTCATTCTCCAGGTCATTCAGCTGTTGCGTGTCCTCGTTTTGTTCAAGCTCAGGCTCCTGCCTTGGCTGTCTTTACTGGTGAGTCCACTCCAGCTGTATGGTATTCTGACTCAGGTGCTTCTGCTCACATGACCTCAAATGAAGGTATTTTGCAAAATAAATCTATTTATTCTGGACCACTAAAAATTACAGTTGCTAATGGCTCTAATCTCCCTGTTATGACTGTTGGTGATTTGCAATTATCTACTCTGCCTCAGCCCCTTCATTTAAAATCTGTTTATCATGTGCCTAGTCTTAAATACAATCTTCTCTCTATTCAATTATTATGTGCCGATAATAACTGTTTTGTGATTTTTGATAAAAATTCTATTTGTATTAAGGACACAATTTCGGGGAAGGTGCTCCTCCAAGCTTCCAGCAATGGCGGCGTGTACCCTATTTCCCTCACACATCCCTCACCACTGGCTCTCATCTCTCATGTTGCTCCTGGCCCCGTCTGGCATCGTCGCTTGAGACATTGTGGAAGTCGTATTTTAGAAAAATTAAAAAAATATGGCACTATTTCTAGTATTTCTAGTTTTTCCCATGATTGTATTTCTTGTTGATTAGAAAAGTCACAACGATTACCTTTTCAAGTGTGGCATAAATCTACAGCTCCTTTATTTTTAATTCATTCTGATGTTTGACAATTTCTTGTTCTTTCTACAAGTGGCTATAAATATTATGTCTTATTTATTGATGATTTTTCTCGATTTATTTGGCTCTATCCCATGTGCCATAAAAGTGAACTCATAACACATTTTCAACACTTTAAACTGATGGTGGAAAATTTGCTTGACTCTAAAATTAAAATTTTTAAAAGTGATGGAGGGGGTGAGTTTGATAATCATGGAATGCGTGATATTTTTACCAAAAATTGAATTTTATTTCGCAAATCATGCCCGGATACCTCTGAGCAGAATGATGTAGCTGAGCGCAAACACATGCATCTTCTTGAATTAACTCGCACTATGTTTTTTGAAGCAAACATGCCAGTTAAATTTTGGGTAGATGATGTGTTTACAGCCACCTTTATTATTAACAGGCTTCCTACTCCAAATTTAAATGACGTTTCTCCTTTTGAAAAATTATTCCACCATACTGCTGACTTCTCCTTTATGCGTGTATTTGGGTGTGCGTGTTTTCCTAATTTTAATGCCACTTCTGCCAACAAACTTTCTCCCAGATCCACTTTATGTGTCTTTCTAGGATATGCCCCTGAATATAAAGGTTATCGTTGTCTCAATCCTCTTACTAACAAGATTTACATCAACCGGAATGTGTGATTTTTTGAAAATTATTTTCCGTATTCTACATTAACTTCTTCCACATCCACCGATGACGTGTCCATCATTAATACTGTCACCATGCATGAGTACCATGACCACACCCCGCCGGCAGCCAGCGTGCTTCCCTCTCCTGCCACGCTGCGGCAGTCCACCCCATGCTCACGGTCCACTTCGTTTCAGCCGGCTGCTCCCAACCTCACCTCACCGCATACTCCCATCACCGACTCCACTACACCTACGGCCGCCGACAGCCCAGTCCTGCCCAGCACACCAATTTCCTCACCCACATCATCCAACTCCACCCATATGACCAATCCACATGCTACTAGCCCAACCCCACTCGTTTCTTCAGCTGCACCTTCTCCTCCAAATTGTCATCCTATGCAAACTCGTGCTAAATCAGGAATTTTTAAATCCAAATATATTTTTACTCACAAAACAGATGTTTCGGCATGTGATCCTTCTTGTTTTTCTATGGCAAATAAAGATGCTAAATGGAGGGCAGCTATGGCAGAAAAGTTTAATGCTTTAATTGATAATCATACTTGGGATTTAGTTCCATTTAATGCTAGTAAAAATGTGGTCGGGTCTAAATGGATTTATAAAACAAAATTTAAGTCTGATGGATGTGTTGAGCGTTATAAAGCACGCTTAGTTGCACAGGGATTTACTCAGCAAGACTTAAAACAAAATTTAAGTCTGGTGTGGATTTTTCTGAAACTTTTAGTCCTGTTGTCAAACCCATCACTGTTCGTATTGTTTTCTCTCTTGCTGTCTCGTGTTGGTGGACTATTCGTCAGTTAGATGTCAAAAATGCATTTCTTCATGGCAATCTAACTGAAGAGGTTTATATGCGTCAGCCTCCTGAGTTTGTACATCCACAATTTCAAAATCATATTTGTAGGCTCAGGAAGGCAATCTACGGTCTTAAGCAGGCTCCATGCGCCTGGTTTTATCGGTTTAGTAGTTTCTTGTTAACCCATGGATTTGTTTGTAGCAAGTCTGATAATTCTTTATTCATTTATCGCCATGGGTCTCATGTTCTTTATCTCATGTTGTATGTGGATGACATTATTATAACTGGTAATTCTCCTTCCTTTATTTCCACATTTATCTTTTGTCTTGGTCACTGTTTTGCCATGAAGGATTTGGGGGATTTACACTTTTTCCTAGGTGTCCAGGCTGTTCGAACCTTCTCAGGTTTATTTCTATCTCAACAAAAATATGTGTTTGATTTATTAACCAAGTTTCATCTTCATACCCTTAAACCTGTTCGTACTCCGCTACCTACTCGAACTAAGCTATCTCTCACTGATGGTGATCTTCTCGCAGATCCTACGGAGTACATAAGTATGGTAGGTGTTTTACAGTATTTGACCATGACTAGACCAGACATTACATTTGCTGTTCACCTGGTTTCTCAGTTTATGCATCCACCTCGTACTTCACATTTTTTGGCTATTAAGCGTATTTTCAGGTATCTTCAGGGAACTCCAGATCATGGTTTGCTCCTACAGCTGAGCTCTTCTCCTATTTTACAGGAGTATTCTGATGCTGACTAGGCTGGCTGTCCTGACAGTAGTCGGTCCACTTTA